TTTCACTCACTTCTTTGAGAAGAATTTTCCATAAAGATATAGATATGAGTTCAATTATTTCAAGAGCCGAAATAATCAGCTCATTATTTTATAGTAATATTTTATATATAATGATCAGCGTATGATCATAAAATGCGAAGGTTTGTTCAGTGGGCGGAAGACCGCTTGGTAGATGATAAGCAGTTTAACCCGAAAAATCATCTTTTTATTTACGCCCATATACATCTCGGAGGTCATGTCTTTAAACAAAATTGTCACTTTTGTTTGTTAGGAAACTCACACGTCGTCAGAAAAAACCCAATACATCGAGAACGATGTTCTGACTTGATGAGTGTCAAGTGCGATTTTCGGTAGGACTCCAACATAGGATCTTATGATCTTAGAATCGAAAGAAATATTATGTTATAGTTAAATAAATTATATGTAATTAAATTTTGAATGTATTTATCAACCTGTTTTTTTAATAATGGTTTCTATATATATTTTTTATATTTTTATTTATATATTATTTATTTATTTATTTTTTTTTTGTTGTATATTTTTTATATTTTTATAAAAAAATTTTATTTCTTAGGTTAGGGTTAGCATTTTATTTCCGCTGTTAAATTTAGTATTTCTGATCTGCACTGATGAAACTCCAAACTTTTGAAAATCTTTGAAAATTTTTTTTTCAAAAAGAAGCACAAAATAATTTAAATAAAAATACGAATCCGAAAACAATTGTTCTGAAATGTTTTCCAAACTAATTTTAAAATGTCATTCAACTGCTGAATTCATTTATTTATGTATACTCGTATAAATGTTTTACATTGAAAATTTGTCTAACAATAAAATTTTATGCTATTGTGTAAATTTTTATTAATTGAACAAATTTTTTCCTCCACAGTAAATATAAATAGAAATAACAAAAATTTAAAGAACAATAAACAATGCAAACATTTCAATCCGAAGAAGCGTTTAATTTGCATAAATGCACTCCGAGTCTCTGCGAGTATCTTCTGGTCTCACTGTATCGCTGTCTCGCTGGAAGTTGCTCGCTTAAGTCTTTTGTTTGCTCAGTTAAGTTATTGTCAATGCTTCAATGTTTTATGTTGTTAACAGTGTCGTAGACGATTTTAGATAAAAGTTTTGTAAAATTGTGCATCTTGCATTTAAAGTTAGTCGCTTAAATAACTTTTGAATTTATTTAAAATTTTATGGATACATATAATATATATTATTTACTTACATATTCGCGTAGAATATGGTTTCGAACAATAACTTTGGCATTTAAGAGGCTTCATTCAATTGAAAATAATATAAAAAAAAACTCATTTAAATATGAACAGTTTAAAACTAAATAGATTTGTTGAAAAAATCTTTTGAAGTTGAAGTTGTTATAACAAAATGCGTGGGCATTCCTTGAAATATCTTTTTCATTCATTTTCTTCAATATTTTTTCGATAATAGAATTTGAGAAAAATTTTCGCACGATGTGTCCGAAATGATGTTTCTATGAAAATTTATTGCACTTTGTGGCTCTGTTAACTGCTTGTCTCTTTATTTTCAGTTTTCTCGATTGCTTGTGACGAAACAATATAAATTATGTTAAATTTAAAGCTGAGGATTTAATTTTATGGAGTACGAATATATTAAAATATATGTCTGCATAATAATTTGTTTTGAAAAATAAATTAAAAAGAGCATCTCGGATATAGTTTTATTGTTAATAAGTTATGTTGATTATACAATTATCCAGCGCTATTCAAAAATTAATTAGTTTTTTTTTAATGAATGCAGAACTCATAAACTTGCTCCACACTTTAGATTTACAATATTTTCAATTTAACTGTGTAAATAATATATTTAAATTAATTTTTATTTTTGATTTCACATATATAACTAATATAAGCCATTTTCACGAATATATTTGCTGTAACTTGTGCAATAATATTTAGTCTATAACCAATCATTAAAAATTTGAAATGAATAAAGTGAAGCGATTATTACTTTAAACTATATAATAGGTATAGTAAAAAGAAATCCATTTGCATGAAATTCAAGACTTATTTAACATAGTTGGGATAATCCAATTTACGTCAAAATTGCGCCATTTTGTTCAATAACTTGTTGGTAATTTTATTATATCACTCTCAGAGAAGGCCTAGTCCTTATTGGCAAAAAATTGAGACAGGCAATTTTCACAAGCCTTTGTTGACGTGAATTTTTCAACAGAAAAATCGTTTGCCACAACCAACCTGACAGTTCTATGAATTTGGCTAAGTTCCTAATATTGTAGGATGACAGCTCAGTCACATCGGTAAGGAAAGAGGTTTCCATAATTTTTAATCTTCTCCTAGCTAAAGATGGACACTGACACATGAGATAAAACACAGTTTCCTCTTCATTCTCAGAGCATAGATTATAAGATGCATAAGTTTCATACGAACTTCCTAACCAAACTCCCGAAACTTTTGGCAAGTCATCGAAGTCATTATTAATGTGTGTGGCCTGGCGTTGTCCTGATGATGGCAACTGCTTCCTTCAGACCGTTCAACTGTTGACAGTACAGTTCCGTATTAAAAGATTTGCCATAGGGTAGCAGCTCATAATAGACGATTCCCTAAAAATCCCATCAAACACACAAGAAGACATACTTCAAACTCCTTTTTGTGTCCAATCGTATGCGAATGGTTCCAAAGGGATTTTGTGCAATCTTTAGCTCTTGGGCCATTGAAACAGTGTTTACATGACTCGAACTGGTCGGACTCGACCAGTGCGTGTTGCGTAGTTCGATCTTTCACATCGAAATTACCAGAAGGAAATCAACTAACTGAGTCTATCAATTACCAAACTGTCAAAAGTTTGTTTAGAACGAAATCTCATCTTTCTAACGCCGTGCAGTGTAACCTAGTCGGACTTATACAACATAGGATACGAATAATTAAAGCCATAGTTTATGACTATAGCGATAGTCATAGTTTATATATGTTATATATATATATTACTGTATATGATTTATGGCTACATATAATGTATGATTATATATGAAATATGACTATATATGATATATGACTATATATGCTATAAGACTATATATTATATAAGACCACATATGATATATGACCATGTATGATATATGACATATGACTATATGTACCATATTTTCTGTAATAATACTGATTATTTGAAATAAAATAAGTTATTTGTTTATTAATAGCAATCAGTTTGTTCCAGATTCGATTACTGTGTTCAGTACGAATAACTTCCCAATAGAGCAGTTCATAAATTCTCAAAATGATCGTGATTTGAGACTACGAATGGCCACCCGAAGTAATTTTTCATATTAAGTATTGATGCTTTTCAATCGTTTTCATAGAGCCTAGTGTCAAAGTCAATGCGATTTTTTATCGGAAAAATATTTTGAAAGTTGCTTTAGAGCCGTGGGCTCGCAAAGATTTCGGCTGTAGACCATGGACGCTCCAACAAGACTCGGCACCGTCTCATAAAGCTCATATGAACTAAGAATGGTTAAAAAGTTATGCTTCACATAATGGTTTTCAAATTCACCAGATGCAAATCCGATGGAATATTCCATCTGAGCCATTTTGGAGCACAAGTTGAGGACTAATAAAATGCCAGTATGGATGCGCTGAAGAAAGCCATTGTTAAGGAATGGGCCAAAATACTGGAAAATCACATTCGTGAAACATCCAACGGATTTTTTAATCGTTTGAAGGCCATCGAACTAGAGTGAATGGATTCTGAAATTTGATTATTTCTACAATTTTTTGTAATTTGAATCAATAAAGAATAATTTCACACAAAAAATATATAGTCACTTGAGAGAGAGAATAGGTAATACTTCACCTAAATCTTTATAACAAATATAATATACTACTTAGTATGTTAATTGTGTTAGCATTTTTTTAACAGATTCCGTTTATTCAAAATTCCTTGCAATTTTCTTCTCGAAATTTCTTCACAGTTTTGCTTATAGTGCGTTCAGATAAAGGATTTTGTTGACCATTACCTCCTAATAATGTACGAAATATAACGACTATAGGCGCATAGCTTTTGTAATAAATTTTAACAATTTTAACGCGTTAACAGTTGTTAAATAATATATATAATAAACTGATAAATATAAACTAAACATTAGATTTTTATTTGACATCAGGACCATATATCTACTACATCAGGACCACAAAATAGATAACCATTTATATCGAAATAATTGATATATTATTGTGTAAAATAAATATCCAATAAAAATTAAAAGTCATGCTTAAGAAATAATGTGTAATAAAAATAATAATGTATGAATAGATGATACTTGTAATTAATACTAAATTACTTTTAATCTGCAACCATAAAATTAATGTCTTTATTAAGTGCCATGAAAAAATTCCAAATATAAGCAAATTCGTTTTCATCACAACACTTACACGATGAATATCGTTTAGAAAAATCTATAAAAAAGCATTGCAAAAATAAAACTTAAAACAAAAGATATTAAAAAAACATAAGCATTAACTAAATATGGTATTTCCTTACAAAAAAAAAATGTAAACAATAAAAACTTTATTTAAAGCAGCACAAATGAAATTCATTATTGTCACAGATTGACGAGGCAATACCTTTTGACGCCAGCTGCGCTGCAAACTGGAAACTGCAGACTTACAAGCACCAGCTACCCCATGCGCAGTCGCATTGAACTGACATAGATGGCCTTTCTCTTTCCCGAAGATAGTAGCACGAAACGTCGAAAACCCAGCTTTGTATCTTCACTATTCAGACTGCTATCTGACTGCTATGAGATGAACCTAACTTAACGCCAACGACAACAACGCTCAGAGCTCCTAAGACAAAGCTTCAACGGCGAGAAAAAAGTGCCACCAACGGCTAGAGTCGGCGCAGTGCACTTTGTTTTGGCGCAGCGTTAGGCGTCAGCGTTGGTTTTTTGGAAGCCAAACAAAAAATTTTTTATAAATGCCAGTGCCGCAACTGAAATCAAAAGATTCGCTACTCGAACGTGCAACAAAGCTGAAGTCTTACTCGGCATAACTCGCGCATTATTAACTCCACGACATTCAGATACTTTGCATTGCAAACGGCAAGCAATTGGTGCACATCGTTATAGACAAATGAACGTTAAAGTCGTAAGAGACTGAAATTAAAATAAAAAAAAATAAATTAAACAATTTATATTAAGTATCTCGGTCAGTACAAAAAAAAAGAAAATCATGACTTTTATTAATAACTGAACTCAAAGAAAACAAAAAAAAAAAACAAAATCATCTGTGAAAGCCAAAACGGTTAAATTCAAATTGCGAAAATCGTCGTGAATTTTTGGAAATTTTCGCTATCGAAATCCATCTTAAGACATCACAATTGTGCAATAAAAAAATCGTTTTGCCCTATAATTTTGGGATTCAAACATAAATTAAATTATGAAAACGTTTGTTGGTAATTTGTGAAAAAAGAAATTAAACGATTTTTACCAAAATAGTGAAATTAACCATTGCACATCATTTTTGTGCTGTATTGCAGCATTTTACTTCGCTAGTCCTTTTCTTCCTTTTACTTGTGGATTAAACTAAAACAAACAAAATGAAACTTAAACTATTTGTACTTTGCTTTGTAATTGGTAAGTGCAATTTAAGAATAAATTAAATAATTAATAAAATATATGTAAAAGTTGATAAAAATACAACTTAAAAATTCAAACTTTCAAGGATTTTCCTTATCTAATTAACTTGTGTAACAGCAAAAACAATACAGAAATACATTATGAAATGCCTTTGTTATATGGTGGACTGAAGACTTGATTTGAGACAATATATTTTTTTAAAAAATTTATAAAATTTATGATTAAGGCCTCAAACACTACTGTTCGCCAGCTAGAAATAGCGCAAAGCCAGGCTCTGAGAAGACTTTTCAATGTACCATGGTACATTAGAACGAATGACATTCTCAGTGATCTGAGTTTAGTTACTGCTTAGCCTGATGAATTGATAAACAATAATCGAATTAAAGCGTAGAAAGGGGTTATGAAGAAACCTTGCAGTTAATAGAGAGTAAAAGTGCTCAAGTACACTGACTCAACTAACCTCAACATAATAATAAATTTATGTTTATGAGTTATAAATAATTTATTAAATTAATGTTTAATTATTAAATTTTATTATTTAAATATTAAATATTATTTAAATATTTTCTAATAATTATAAAATTTATATAAATTATTATTAAAAGGGACAAAATTTAAACAGACAGACAGTATATTTTCAGTGTGTCAGCATGACTATATAATTTGACATAATTGTCCTGAAAAGTCTGGCATATAATAGCTGATTCAAGGATAATCATTCATACAGGTTTCATAATATATTTTCAATTTTAACAGATAACATTTTTTTGTATATTTCAAAGATATTACATAGATCAATTATCTAGTTATCTAATAAATCACAAAGCAGCAAATCACGCTCTGCAAGAGTGTTTCTTTTTTTTTAATATACTAAATACTAAAACAAAAGCAAAATAAAATATTAACTTAAATATTATCTGCTAAATTAGAAAATATATAATGGAACCTGTATGAATAGTAATCCTTGAGCTATATTAAAAAATGTAAAAGTGACTACAATTTTTTTCTGATATATAAAGAAAAATATATAATTAATTCTGTATGAATGATAATCATTGAATTATAATATGTAAAGTAAAAATGTTTAAAGTTTTAACTGCAAAAATCAAAACAGATAGTTAACACTGTATGAAGTATAATCCTTAAGTTATATAAAAAAAACAAAGCTGTACAAAAGCTAATTCTTAAGTTATATTAGCAAAAGAAAAAAAATCTAAAGCCTTTGTCTGGTAAATCGAAAAATATATACTCACTCCAGTATGAATAGTAATCCTTGAATTATGTCAGGAAAACTAAAAAGGCTAGAAGTTTTATCTTAAAGATAAAAAATTTAGCCAACCTCGTACGATGAATAATTTTTGACCAATACAACATAAAGTAATAGTAATTAAATCTCTTACCCAGGAAATAAAGAAAATATATAATCAAACCTTTATGAATAGTAATTCTTGCACTGTACTAAAACTATATAGGTATGAGGAAATATCTTTCAATTATAGGAAAAAGTAAATTTGACAGCAACTTTTATCTGATATATTAAGGAAAACATAATCAACCCTACATAAATTAGAATTCAAGTATTTAATATATCTAATAAATCAAAATAATAATCTATTTTAATAATAATCCTTGATCTATACTAGGGCTGTCCGTTTTAATAATAATCCTTGATCTATACCAGGGCTGTCCAAGCAGCATGTGGCCCGCATCTAATATTTATACAATATTATTATATAAATTACAGTGCCACATCCCCTAATAATAATAATTATATAAATTATATATATTCAAATTATATATATAATAAATATATATATTATTAAATTATATATATTATAAATTATATATATAGTATAAATTATATATATAATAATTATATATTAAAAAAATTAATATATATTATAAATTATATATATTATAAATTATAAATTTACATATATTATTTAATAATATTTTTTTAATTTACGACAATTAGTTAAGTTTTTCTTTATTATATTTTGGTAATATCACATTATTTTAATTTTATGGCATCCCAAATAAATTAATTAAAATGTTTTAAATAATTAATTACACTTCACGTTAATTTACTTAATTGATAAAGAGTTTAGTATAGATTTTTTTTACAACTTATTCAAAAATCCGGTATCGTAAATCACTACATTTAAAATAAGATATTTTTTGTAAGACCACAACTAATGTTAATAATGTTGATATTGAGAGAATTGTAAAAGATAAATTAATCAAGATTTAATAAATGTAAATTTAATATTTTCATTTCACTCCAGCGAAATTATGAACTTATCTATTCATTGCTGCGACCCTCCAACCTATTAGTGATTTGAATTGGGCCGCAATCTTATCTGGTCTGGACAGCCCTAATAATTGCAAACAAAAATAAAAGCAACAAAAACTATTACCTAATAAAGAAAGAAATATAAAATTGCAAAATATTGCTAATATGATCAAGTAAAATATCTACACCCTGACCAAGTTCTCTAATTTTTATGCAACATTCAACCAATACCATCTGATATACATATTCGTTGTTTTCTTGAGTAATGCTAGCTTTTGACCGCCCAGAATGATCTTCACTGTTACATCCAAGATTAAATTCTTGGCAACGAATAATTTTTAAGGAAAAAAATTCTATTATATCAAGATTACATATAATCCCATTTATGTTATAAATACACAGAATAACAGTTTAATGAAATATAATTCTCAGTTAGTTCAATTTAATTTTACAATAAAAATATCAAATAAGGAATCATAAAATACACATAGCATACGCTGAATTTAATATAATATTGGAATAAAATTATAAAATTTTGCACTTATACATTGTTTAAGCACTATCTTTGAATTAAGTATTATATTGTAAAAGGAATTGAAAAAGTTATTTTGTTTCATAGTAAACTTTAAATTATAATAATAATCAAATTATATGAAAACAATTCGTTCGTTTGCATTCAAACCTGCGGCTTCACGTTTTGGAGTCAAGTACTCAGTCACTAAGCCATATCATTCTTAGAATTTCATGCTTTTATTTTTGGATTATATCAAAGGGAATTAAATTTATAAATATTTATATATGTACATAGCTTTATTTTATTTCAATAAGTTTACTTTATAATGGGGACGTTGGCAATGGGTGATTTAAATTAAAAGTAAATAATACTAAAAACTTGGTTTTTGTTGTTTATATAAGTTTTTCTATAATTTCTTTTATATAATTTTATTTATTTAAATAGGTTTTAAATATAAGATCCTTTTAAATCTTTGCTTAAAAAATAAATATTTGTATAATATACTTTAATCATATCTTATCTATTATTCAACTTTGTACTGAGATATTTAATTGAGCCAAGCTTTGCAATCTGTAATCTGCCCTAGTAATTATTTGGTTAATAAAAACAAATTATTACTATTTTATATTTAAAACAATATCCTATTGATATTTTAGCGACAAAATCAATAGAGCAAATATCAATCCTTAAAATATTTTACTTCTTCCATATGCGATATTGTTTTTTTTTTTAAATAATGGTATAAATTCGCCCAACAGCTGATACTGTGACCAAAACAGTCCTATTGTATCAAATTAACTATAATTGCACAAAGCCCTTTAAAGCTTTGCGAACAAAGTCCAGAACTAAATCTGAAAACCAGCACTTAATCTGTATTGGTAACAGGAGTTCCACATGAAACAAGTTTTTTCTGTGCGTTGTTATAGCTCGATAATTACAAAGAATATGCTTAGTTGTGTCCTCATCTTCGAGGCATAATCTGCATTCCGGATTACCAGATAATTGAAGTTTTTGTAGTTGTTATTTCTGGCCATAATGAAACCCGTTAGCAATCTTAAATCACCTCATCAGCATTTGAAAATGTTTTTGTAGGAGTATGGTTTGACCAGTGCTTGTCTGAGTCCAGAAAAATCTTCCTAGTACACCAGACGAAAACGATTCTCCCTATACCTGATCTTTAATAATATAAATACAGCTCAAGATTAAGTATAGTTGTTCTAACAACGAACTATAACCTTTTAAAACTGAGAATTGCAATGTAACTAAAATGAAATTAATAGGCTTTATAGCAAGAGAATGAGTGCGTCAAACTCGGCTGAACATATAACAGTTGGTAAAATATGGTCTCCCAGTGGGTGCACTCTAAACACGAAAATAAAAGTTTTTAACCATGAGTGCTTTCCGTCCTTGGATATTTTTCAATCGCTTCAATCGCACATACTTGCCGAACAGAACTACAAATCGAAAATTGTGTTTCAAGACAAATTTAAGGTTCGTATACATGGATAACCGCAACCGAAAACTTGGATAAATTCGACATTTGTTAAAAAAATCAACACGTAAAATATCAGAACCAACTTTCAAATATAATCCTTTATTGCAAAGTTGGAAAGTTATTGGAAAATTTGATGGGTTGGAAAAAAACAACCTAAAAAGGATTAACTATGAATAAAATCAATTCCTTTCTACAATCTCAGAAAAGAAGCATAAATAATATTACTGAGTTAAAGCATTTAACTTTGAGACATAAAATCTGGCGACTCAAAATCAATAACGTTAAGCAAAGCCTTTTATTTATATCAAAGTAGATTCAATATAACTTAGAGAGATAGCAAATTGGAGATAGGAATTTAGAGAAATTCTCTGAATCTATGAAGGTGACACAATAGATCTCTGGGCCGATGAGCAAAAAATAATATAGACAATATAATAAACTAAGAAATATTTGAAACATTTATAAGGTAGGTAGGTTGGAGTGGCAGCCTTGTTTCCAAATAGTTCTATAAACTTGGCCAGGTCCCCAACATTACAGGCTCACAGCTCAGATCGATGAGAAAGGAGAATCCGAAGATCTTTAATCTTTTGCTAGCTAAAGAAGGGCACTGACACATGAGATGAACCACGGTCTCCTCCTCATCCTCAGTGCCACAATCTCGACAAAAATCATTATAAAAATCATTTTTAATTTAAAATAATAATAATGATAATAAAAATAATTTAATTCAAGTTTTTTATTATGGTATATATATTACATAATTTTTTCAATTTTATATACAATAGTTTATCTTGTTAAAAAATATTGTCAATAAATTACTATCAAAATCACTTCACTTATGCGAATGAAATATGTTTTTATTGAAAATATATAAATAATATTATATAATTTTTATTTTTATTTTTATTGATTCCATATTTCTAACTACCTGTGTTTCTTTTTATAACTTTTATTTTTTATCATAAATCGATTGCGTTATTATATTTTATTGTCAATGCTAAAGGCATTTCGCCAATAACCTCCGGGAATCATTTCTAAATTTTTTTTAGATTATATAGGCATCTTTACACATTTCCTCTATATTTCTAGTTATATTTTATTTATATAAATTGTAGCTGATTTCCTTAACTTAATTCCTATGGAATTAAATTTTTATTTTTAATATTACGTCATAGCTACGGGCTTTGAAAATCGTGTGGTCTTTGTTTTAACTTTTTATTATTTCTAAATTATTAAATCATACTTAACAATTAAATTAGTGAACAAGTCATTAATTAGCAGTACTTCACAAGTCATTAATTAGTGCTTCGCTTCAGTGTTATTCAAACACTATAATTATTAACGACAAGATTTATATTGTTTTAAAATATCTTATAAATATTGTTGCATTTCCTATTTTCATAAATATTCAAAATATCCTGGTAATTATATATTTTCTAGTATTTAATATTGTGTTTATCGTTATACAAACTTACAACAAAGAAATAACTGTTCACTAATGAGACTGAACTATAAAAAGTCGTGGAGCCAGGTCGGACAAGCCCTATTTAGACTCCTGTACGTTGTGGTATTGCCCAGGCCTCTCTTGTTTAAGATTCATCTTTAAGCATCTGAATGCCAAAATGTTTAATTCACACTACAACATCTCCAGTCTAGAAGATTCATCCTTAAGCATCTGAATGCCAAAATATTTAATTCACACTACAACATCTCCAGTCTCCAAAATATTTAATTCACACTACAACATCTCCAGTCTCCAAAATATTTAATTCACACTACAACATCTCCAGTCTAGAAGCGGGCTTATGGTTGGATATAAAACTACCTGCTTTTTTTTTCCTGATATGTGAGGAACATGAAATTCATCAACACATTTCATAACATAGGAGTTGGAAACTGAACACTTTCTGTTGTATGCGAATGTATACGAATCTTGATATTAAGATTATATCAATGTCAACCCAGACAATATTTTGGAAAGTGCTCTAAAGCCGTAGACAACAAAAATTTCTATTGCAGAGAGTAGATATTTTATGCACCATAGAAATTAACAAGCGAATTCCAATTACTGAGTACTAAAGTTCTACACTTTATTTAGACAGAAGAGCAGCCATTCACGCTCACCAGTTGAGAACCCGCTCAAATTTAGGATCAGTCCTAGAAAAAAATAAGAGATAAGCATTGCGTGATAAATGAAATTTTCTTCGTAAAAAAAACTTGCAAGATGAGAGTTTAAAAGATTAACAAATATAGGACACTTGTGATATGTCGAGGCTAATGTGACTGATACTTGATAAGAATATTTCAAGGGATCTACTACTCAGTCTACTAACAGAAACCATCTCTAAGATCGTTGCATGTATAACCGATCACTGAGTTTTAGGCTAGGAGTTACCTTACCTCTTATGAGTATTAGAAATTGTGGATATAAAGAGAGAGAAGCAACAATGGAACTCTTCTTCTGCAACTTCCAGGCTATAGCTAAAACCAGGACAAACTGTTTAAACAAGCAAGTCGCTGGCTCTTCTTCACTGAGATGCCTAGCACTTAACTTAAAAACTCCTATTTATATATAAAACAATTAAGGTCTCATGTTAAGTAGTAGTTTCACAACGGACACGTAGTGTCTAAGTAAAAAAAACAAAAAAATTTTACAATGATTTTCATATACACATTTTTTACAAAAACGTTCGATAATTGTCGAAAAAGAATCGACTTTAAAGCAGCAAAAATCCGATTTATTTTATATATAAATGTATGTTTAGCAACAAAGAATATTTAATGGATTAATGACTCCTTTCATATAATACTATTTTATTTATTGGAACTATGAAACCATTTCAATAAACCACAATTTTATTTGACAGTCTGTACCTCGGTTAACATTCTTTTATACGATTTCTTTGACTCGACTGCTGACCAAAGGTATAGTTTTTATTTTTGGTAGAGATTTGATAGGCTCTCCCTCAATAATCACTGAATGGTTCATTACCTTTCATACGTTTTGTTGGCAGGCTTGATTGCAGGTCAAAGGTAGAGTTTTCTTTTGGGTAGTTTTGATAATCTGTATATCAGTAACCATAGAATGCTTCACTACCTTCCATACGATTTCTTGACTGGCTTGACTGCAGGTTAAAGGGAGAATTTTTTTTAAGATAAAATTTCGTTTAATAGTCTATATTTCATTGAATAGTTCACTACCTTTCATACTATTTCTTTGGCTTGACTGCTGACCAAAGATATAATTTATTTGGATAGAGTTTTGATAGTTTCTATCCTACTGAATAGTTCACTATTTTTCATACAATTACTTAGCTGGAAGTCAAAGGTAGAGCTTTTTTTTTGGTGATTTTTCTTTGATAGTCTGTATCCATCCATACTATACTTGGTCTAAGAATCAGTTCCTGCATTTCTGCCATTGTTAATAATCTCTATAATAAAGTTTTGTGTCGGTTTCACAATTATTTTTTCTTATAATTTATAATAAATCTTAAAATATAATATAATTATATTAATTTATAATCTTATATTTCACTTTTTTGTAATATTTTATTATCATTTTAGGTCTACTAAATACCAATGCAAAAGAAAGCAGTGATGATACAAAATCTACTACAAAAAGCGTAGAAGATAAATCTACTACCCTTAAGGCGTCATCACCAAAAGCAGTTGAACCAACAGAGACAATATCCAAAGACAAAAGACAAATTGGTGCAAAAGAAACTGCAGTGTACCCAAATCATCGTTTGGAAGCAAATATTGATGATCCAGAAAATCCACAAGAAACGATTTATGGACCAAAGCCCAGTCAATTCATAATAAGGCCAATTGCAGCACAGCAGTCACAGTTGCGCAATTATCCGGTGACAATACGACCACACAGCACTCAACTACTGGAACAGAGTCAAGAGGTAAGTCACTCAGGCTGCTTTGCAACGCCAACGACGACAACATAAAAAAGGTTAATGATTCACTTTAAGCTTGAAATATTTTTTACTATCGTTGCAGTAAGAAATCACAAATCACAAGTCACAAACTGCAAATTTAAGTAAATTTCTGCTTAAAATTAAGTAAATTACATTCACCGAATCTTCGTCGTAGTTTATGCGCAGCTGAAACTCAGATGCAGCCACATCTCAGCGGCAGAAAGCTGCTGCATTTAGTGCAGTTTAAAATCTTGCACTTTATTTTTGATACTTGTATAATTTGTTCACGAGGTCGACATCGTGACTTGTTTAGTGTTTAAATACAACCATTTTTTTTTTATTTTTGTTCAGAAGATCTCAGCAAATGACACATTGTTGTGCCTCAAATTCTAATTCGTTACAAACCTCAAAATTTGCAGTTTTATAGCGTTTCACGGAATGTTTATGAGATTTGAGATTCGTATTGCTTGACTCAAATAAATTTTAAATATTTTTGGTTTAATGTTTTATGCAACTAGTGAAATACTTACTTAAATAAAATATTTAAAAAAATATCATCTCTCTTGTAAAAATCTTGCTATGCTAATATATCTCCAGAAAAAAACCATCCCAAATCCAAATTTGACACGTATTGTTGAAATTATTTTGAACGCCAGCTTAAATGAATATTTTGAATGACTCAATTCATCAATATTTTTACAATTTACAAAACTATATTATTAATCTCTTATTTTTTGTAACCAAGATGCAGTCATGGGCGTAATCCGGCAACTGCTCCTTATTTAAAAAAAATAAAATTTTCAATTGCAACAGAACTGCCGACACATACCCTTTCCACCCATCCAATTATCACATTTGAGGGGAATATATATGTCGGGCATACTCTTTGGAAAATCACCATCTCATAAGCCCCTCTTGGATACGACTTTGTATTCAGCTTGTCTTCTCGTGTAATCAAATTCGTCATGTACTGTAGAAGCTAACATACCACACCTAATACTTCTAATTTTATGATTTAATTACTTTAGTCTCAATGTTGAATTTATTTAAATTTTTTAATTTATTTTTATTCAAAATTTTTTTTTCTTTTTTTAAAATTAAATTAAATCTTGTTCTTGTTCTGTATTGCAAATGAGAATTGCAAAAAAAAAACACGTCAAAAATCAAATAACAATGCCAGTCCCTTAGATAAAGTACTTTGACTTCAGTTGAGTTAAAAAATTGATGCAATCTTCTCAAATCTGTTAAGACACACACAAGTCTATTATAAAACTTCTGACGTAATACTTTATAGTAGTTCCAGGAGAGACTTTCCGCCCGGAATTGAGGACATATTTTTAGCATTAACTTAGGCTTTTGATCCTTTTGAGTCCTCATTAAAAAAAACCATTCTAAAGATTTTTTGAAAATAATTTTGAAACTAGTGTTGTCTTTATAGTTATCCGGTAAATAAATATAACAAATGTGGTTGACTCCTTCCTTAATTAGCAGTTGACATACTAAATTCGCTCGGCGTGATACCATATGATCTTAGTAGGACGTTACAAGGATTAAACCCTCGTTTAACCATCATGTTGATGTAATAAACCATAATTGCTTTACGAAACAAATCGCTGACAAAACAATGAGATACTCTCCAGCTAATAAGTACCTAACGTTATCATTCTTTTTTATGATGCGTTGGATAGGGTCATAGGAAGTGTTTGATAGGGATTAATCCAATTTAAAAAGCAATAGAACTGGTATATACAGAAAGTTTAAGAAGTGAGTTAATATTGGGAAAAGATTGAGGACAGGATGTGAAATAAAACTGATGGAAGTACTTAATAGTGCCCTTGAAATAGAATTCTACTGATTTATTCTTGTGTTTTGTTTTTGCAACTCAATAGAAAAAATCCATTGTAGAAATAAGAAATTGGACATTTTATAATACTCGAACTTAATCGAAACTGCGACTTATCAGGCCCATATTATATAAGTAGATGTCACTATCTTATCTTATTCTTATCACTATTTATCTAAATAGTTTAGAACCCTTTATAAAATATAATTTCTGATTTATAAAATTGATCAGGGTTTAGTGAACAAAATACATAAAAATAATGTATTTTTATTTTAAACAAAGAATATTGTTAAACTTTAATTTTGTACTTACTTAATTGGCCTATACAAGTGCATATCGTATTTCGCAGTACCCATTAATCTTGTCATCCAGCCCGACGCTTTGCTTGCTGTCTCCAATTTTACCTAGTGATATCACATCATTATTATGATTATGATTTCCGAACATCACAATTCGACGATGAAGCCCCTCCAGACCACCCCTCTACCTTGGCTACGTGCCTTCCACAACAACTTTTTATTGATCGTTGTTGAGCAATCAATAAAAAATGCTATATTCTAGTTGGTGCCAGATTGCATGTGTAGTGTTTTTTTAATATGTGTAACCAATTAAGAAAGTCGTTAATTATAATCTAAACCCGATATCTGAAGAAGCTACATTCGCATTTAGTTTGGTGAATAAAAATGCTTAGAATATTGAAAGTCACTAAAATCCGTTGCCAAGTTGTGGCATTCGTAACATCCGTAGTTTTATACACAACTTGGATTCATGTCCCAAATTCCATTAAGCTGAAAAATATATCTATAATACTATGTCTACATGTACTTAAACTCTTTAATATTTTAGCATAGATCTAGAAAAATATGATCTTCGATTCAAGTACAATCTTACCAAATACGATAGCTTCTATTATGTGACTAAGTTATAGCTACTTTATTTTTGGCCAGTACTAATTTCTTCTTGATTTCTTAGAATATTATCTTTAGGTTATCAATTTACTTGTTCTCATTGTTTTTATAAAGAAAATAGGACAACCTTTTATCTTTTAAACAAATTCTTCATTATATGTAATGATTTATATTTAGTATCACAACGATTATAAGAACGTCATAATTCACTAATTAATTAATGTTTATGTAGTTTTTAGTTTAATTTTCTCTAATAGGGATACAAATTTAACTTCTAATCGCTTATGTACTTGTGAACATATAGTACTTCTCTCATAATCATAAGTCAATAATTACAGAATTATAAACATTTTATTGTACATATATTTTTATGATATCTGTAGGTTCGATATTATCAGATCCTTAGTAGTTTAGCCAGAATTCTAGTCACTGACCCAAATAATTCCGGGAACAAGAACGGTACCAAAAAATATTCCATTAGTTACATTTTCAATTTTTTTTTAATTTAAAATGTCATAATTTTGATCTAACTTCATTCTATATACGCTAATACAATTTTTTGTAGTGGAAACTCGTGGAACTGCCTTTTTCAATGTCTTCTTTTCAAAATTTGTGTTTGAACATTTACACAATGTCCCTATTAAAAACAGATGTATATATTACTTTCATACAACTAGATCCCTACTAGCCCTTTGTAAATATTGAACTAAATAGTTTTGTTGTTACCATTTTTTTTATTGTACCTCGTGTTGGGAGAGGGTAAGCGATGTTTGGATCTCAAAGGATGATTGTCTTCGGATTGTAGTTCCGGCCATTCTTCGTACTCAGAAGAACATAGAGCTGATCGTTTTATATTTAGATAAAACTCCCATCAAAACTAATAATTAAGCTATATGTTGTTCCATTTTCTTCTTTATTAAAAATTAAACCAGACATTTTTGTTGTTCTTGTAAACCAACTTTAAATGCGTGACAGATTTTTGATCGCTTAAAAAATCGCCTGAAATTGGGCATTGACCCCTACTGTAAACCAGAAGCATTGCCGTTATGCTCGGAAAGTGTGCAATATTTGTTCGTCTGAAAAGATGATTAAATTTGGGACGTAAACTTGCTTTCTTCTGTAAGCTAGTAACCTCACTCTCGCGCGAAAGGTTTTCGAAATATTGCCGAGGTAAAACATGCCTGCCGTAAGAGGTGAATAAAATCCCGGCACCATCCGGCACTATTTAAAGTGTAAATGGTAGTGAGTAAGTTTTGTCTTGCGGCGCCCGACCAGAGATGTATATCTGGCACCACGGGATCAGTGCCCGCAACTTTGGCTGTTCTGACCAACTGAGGTTCGCAGTATTGTGGTGATTGTGGATAAAACCAAACTTACACGGGTAGATATGGAGTTACCCAAAGATTAGCAGAAGAATTTAGCAGGTCTCACTCTTTACCAAGGAGAAAGTTATGCTAAACATATAACTTCAATTCTTACCAGTGGTCATTTCTCGATATTCCAATGTGGCGTCTATTGGCGCTTTGTGTTGATAGGTGTGTTGAGAACAACATGGTGTTGAGCCTTCAAGGCAGGTAATCACGTAAAACCTTTTTTGGGCTCTGTAAGCTAGAAACTTTGCTGTCAAAAGCTATACTCCGAATGGGTGAGCGATACTTGATCGTCTGAAAAGACGGGTAGATTCGGGAGGTAGACTCGGCCTCCCTCAACTACTTGCTGTAAACCGGAAGTATAACTGTCGGATGCTATATCAATCTGATTTAATATTATAACAAACATTTAGATAGGATTCAAATCTAAAGACTTTGAATATTATGAATTAGAACTATGAAAATTTTGAAGGCCAACTTCAACACCTAACGTTGCATATATCTATTTTTTTTTTTTTAGTTAATTTTATACGGTTTTCAGTTTATCTGCAGAAGATAAACTTAAGAACGACCGACAACTATGATTTTGTTACAAATTTAATATTTTTTATGTATATTAAGTAATGTTTCGTCTTGGTTTATACGGTTTTTAACTGGTACATAATTTAAATATTTTAATTTGGGGTTAACCACATGTGTAACGTACATAATTTGAAAATTGTAATAAAAACCGAAAAATTCGACATAAAACCGCATTTAACCTTAGAGACGCCCTCAACAAAATTGAAGTTTGTCGCTTAAGTCTTTTTGGTCGGCTCATTAAAAGCGGTAAATAATGAGATTTGTAAAGAGATATGTGTACTTTGAAATAAATACAATACTAAATAATAAAAGAAAATTAAAATGTGTATTTGCTGTTATCTTAATTCAACAATTATTCGCTAAATCACAGACCTTGACCGCAATCAAAGTAATTTGTTAATCTAAGTACTGCAATTGTTGAGTACAATTTAAGATTAAAAACTAAAATTAAAAGAAATATTAAAAACAAAAAAGAAAAAGAAAAAAGGCCATAAATTAATTAAAAGCCAAACAAAACGAAGTAATATTATTACTTATTTTCAATTGAAATGGGAAAAAATATTGTAATAATTGTACGCAGCGGCAACAGCAGCGGCAGTTGCAAGCAGACAATTAAAGTCTAAGTAAGTCACGATCAATTATAGTAACTGGCGATGGAATAGCACACCGACCCAGTAACAAACTTACAACATTTCCACAAATTTAAAAATATTAGAAAAAAAAATGCTGTCCACAACGTAATGTTTTGTTCGAGGTGATTTCTTCGGCTGCAAAACACGCATTCCAGCAACTAAAAACAATGGCTGACGTGGGAAGAAAGTTATCTGCATAACCATAAATTTTTTTAAAACTTAGCAGAGGCATTGGTAGGAACCTCATTCTCATAAGGGATACCAACAGCGTCACTTATGCGCTTACATGCCACCACCGACAATGCATTGCTATAGTAAAGTTTGTTACCTTTTTTTAATTAAAATTTCCATAATGATTATGTGAATTTGATTTAACATGAAAGAAAAAAATGTGTTTTAAAGAAAACCGCGACGGTAATTGCAACATCTGCTGCAACTGCATAAATATATTATTTTAATTTTTTCACCATACATTATATAATCTACAAGCAGCTGCACGATTCTCATACGATTTGACTTTTGTGCTTAATAAAAAAATATTGTTTGCATAATGCGGCGGTACAGGAGGTGAAGTGCTTTGGCATATTTCAAACATAATAATTAACCGTATAGCATAATGCGAGTTACTGTAAAGGAAACACTTAGACTTCTCACGTACATTGCATTAACATGTCAGTAACCTGCTTTAAGTACCAAAGTCTACGCTTACTCAGCGATTTATTAGTCTGCAATTAAATCGATATTGAAACTGGTACATCCGATTTTGATTTTGTTTATTAGGCTCCGCTGTTGCACAAAAAAAAACCAATTACATTGCATTACTTTTGGTTAAAAAATAGGCAAAAAACTTCAGGCCAAGTAATATTTGATTTGCGATAACGATGTCGTAATTCGGCTCATGATTGACGTACAATAATTATTTTTGATTATTATATCTTATTGATTGCTTTATTTTTTCTTTTTCTTACAGATACAGCACTTTGCCTACTTACAAGATATTAACAGAAGCCAACAGCCAAAGTCTACGCAAGACAAAGTGCAAGCGGCACAATCAAAAAAAATAGCAACCACAGCAGCCACACTAGCACAGTCACAATACAATAATAACGTCGATGAAGCCGAACAACGTTATACAATAGCCATACAACCACAAGCACATCTGCGTCAATATCCATCCGCGCAAGCATTTCAAGCACAAGTACCAATACCACAACAGCAGCAACTACAACAGCAACAACATCAACAACAACAACAGCAGCAGCAACACCAACAGCAGCAACAACAACAATACCAAATAATACCAGAGGAACAATTTCTTAAATTGATTGAGGAAGAATTACAAGCGCGTGCCTATCATGAAGCACAATTCCGTGAACAGCAACAACAGCAACACATACAACAACAGCAGCAACAACAACAGCAACAGCATCAGCAGCAACAACAACAACGACAGCAACCCGTGACTGCAGCAACACATCAAAATGATAGAATTGGTAAAGGTTTGAACGGCTATCGTCAATCACCCATCGAAGAACCGACTCCACAACAATATGTACAATATGTGCCACAGCATCGTGGTGGACCAAAATATTTGCCACTGTCACAAAATCAAGCACAAATTGCTGATTCACAATTAGCAGAACAAGAGTTGGAACAACAAATACCACCACAAATCGCTTACTATCATCCACAAAACTACAAAGCATTGCCAAATCATCCGCTCGCAAAATCATCATTAGAAAAAGAAATAGAAAAATTATTAGCCACTAACAAGCCATCTGCTGCAGCACTACATTTAATACCAAATATAGAACCACAACAACAGCAACTTCATCAACAACACATACAACCCCAACCACAATTACAACAAATTCATCATCAACGCCCGCAACCACAATTACAGTTGCAACAAACACGCCCCGCACCACGACCACACGTACAACCAAAAGCATTCATAGCCACCACACCCAATTCATTACTTGATGCCAACAATCAACCATTCATACCTTCACTATTCAAATTTAGTAATTTCCAAACACCTACACCAGTTTATCCCACATCTGTGCCACAACAAATAATAGATGCCAAAAAGTTAGGTCCTGTTGTTTATCCCACTGAAACCAGTAACCAACAACCAGCACAACCCTCACAGTATTACTATCAGGAAGCCGCACCTAATGCCGTCAAGTCCAAACCATATCGTGCTAAACAATACAGCAACAAGCAATCAACTGCTGCACCAACGAAACCACGTCAAAAAGAGGTCAAGCTACAATCAGCACCACCCAAATATTCCCAACCGCTCATATATGATTTTGAAAATCCAACACATCTTACCCCCGGTCAATTCTATCCAAGTCAACCAGATCCAATTAAACCACAAAGCACACCACAACCAACACATGCTGCACCACCACACAATCAACCACCAACAGATTATCGCCCATACGCCTTACCTAATCCATCACCCTCACAATCCAGCATATACGTATCGCAAGGCACGGGCATTAACACACGGCAAACCACTATAAAACCCAAAACCGTAGAAGACGTTAAACAATTACGTTTACCACAACCTGGTGGAAAGCCACTAACACAAGCCGAATTTCAAGCTTTAGTCGATGCAGGCTATCCAGTAACAGCTGTACCCGTGCCAGTGCCAGTACCATATGAGCAATTCATCAAAGAACATCCCGACTACCGCAATCAACCTATAGACTACAATGCGCAATTGGGACGTTTCGCTCAACAATATGCCCCACCTGCACATGGTCAGCAGCAACGTTCTCTTGCGGCAGCCTCCGAACCAGCTGTGAAAATTATTTCACCCGGCCCAACAGAACAACAAAACGATGATGAGAGTGCTGCATACTTGAGGCAATTGAATGCTCAGCAGAAAAGACGTCCACGCGATGAGAAGGAAACTGCAGTGTCCGGCAAGAAGGAATCATAAGTTATATGTTTTTTTTTTCTATTGCATTTTTTGCATTTCATTTCAGTTAAACTAAATTTAAGTATTGTAATTTTTTCTTCTCGTTAAGAAAAGGATTTTTCAATATTTTCATTTAAGCATCTTGAAAAAATTTCCTTTCATCCTCCTACCCACATGTTTGCATGTGAAGTTTTGTAAATAATTGTGGAATCTTAAAGAAATCATTCCAAATTTCTTTAAAAATACAAACGTACACATCCTATAATTGAAAGTGTTAGTGACACTGACTAACTTAGTAGCTGACTTAGTGTAAATCATATCAACAATCATATCAACACATCGACTAGTTTTGTAATTATTTAAAAGTTTACGGTTTCGTCCGGAGTATTGTAGTTTAATTTTCGTTAGTTGCAAAAATTAGTGCTTAAAATTAATTATTTTTTAACTAAAAAATATAACTAAAAACAAAAAATAATTCCTTACTTTGTGTTTTATTTACGCTTATAATGAGCTTACTAAAAACGGGGGATTACTGTTACTATTGCTGCTATCAGCTGAGCTGAGCGTTTCCGGTGTAGCTTCCTTAACTTGTAGCCTTGAAATATTTGGATCTCTTTTTTCCTTCTTTTCTCGTTCTTTTTCCTTGTCCTTATCCTTATCTTTCTCCTTATCCTTATCTTTATTATGTTTGTGTTTATGTTTATGCTTATGTTTCTTCTTATCCTTCTTCTTCTTTTTCTGTAAAGATTAAAAGTAGAATATTAGTTTATATAAAAATTACTAATATTAATTAAACACTACTTGACTCTCTTTCACACTTTCACTGCATATACATATGTTTTATTTAAAAAAATGATCAATACTTTCTACCCAACCAATAAGTTGATACATTTTATAATAATACCTCCTTCATAATTTTTCCATTTACGTTATTTGTGTCTCTTAAGAATAGTGTGTGAATACTATTTACTAAACCAATAAAATGGTATATTTTGTAAAATCTCCATGATAATATATATATTTAGATTAGGTTGGAAAGGTGTCCTTGCACATTTGAGTCCACTTGAGCACAATAAAAACAATTAACTGATTTGATACTACGCACAAAACGTTGCTTATACGCAAGATCAAGAGATCCACCAAAAGAGGTATAAAGAAAAAAGTAGTTGACACACGGATAACGTCGACGAGAACAGGCACAACATCCCTATTTAAATAGAAATGAACCAATCGCACAAATCTATAAAATTAACTATATCCCCAATATTAAAGAATGACAGTTTTGTGAGATTGGTAAAAAAGAAATAGGACCCTATATATATACAATCTTCTATTGACCACAAGTCCCATTGAATGTCTTCCAAATATGCAGTAATCTATCAGCACCAATACCGTAGTACCGAATAGATTCCGCTTTAATTAAAGCAACTAACTGGAACGATTCTTGTCTAAATGGAACAAAATAAATATTAAAATCTGACAAAATTCCTCACCTACATAGGCTTTTCAGCTACCCTAAATATTTTCGGGGTACATTATAAATAGATGTAAACTCTGAAGTACATTAAAACTTTCACCGATTATCTATATGTCTATCTATATCTATCTATCTATATATCTGTTGTTTAGGTATTCCGAATGGTTTCCTGAAGCACCCCGACGGCAATATCTTTATACTGTGCATTCCTCAAAAATGTTCAGCACTATTCAAAGACAAATTGAGCCATAGACGTAAGCTATGTGTATATCTGGTATCTGGCCATAGAGGTATAGTAGGAAATTAAAAGATTGAGATCTCTAAAATTGCCACTAAACTTACAGAGAACCAAATAAGGGAGATACGTAAACGACTGAGCGATATATAGAGATAATATACAAAATTGTCGGAATAAATCCAATTTAAGTTATTGATAGATCGAAAACAGTACAGAAGCCTAGTTAGCATTTGAACAGGGTGCTGTATGTGCATAAGCTAAAAATCACCAGGAGTGACGAATACAGGAAATGCAAGTATCCGAGCAAGTGTCCTATTTCTCTTTAGTTGGTTCTAAAACTCGAATAAAAACCTTTAGAAATAACAATTTGGATGGATGAACTTCTTCTATAATGTTAAGTAGACTAATTCTTTATAAATTTTCGTTGATGACACACACATCTTAAGCAATGTGTACGACCGTAAGCTGCCTTTAAGAAATCTAATCAGGTATTGCAACGGAACCATCAGTTCTATGCGTGTTCTCTGCCAGCAAACTATATCAACTTATTTAGCTTTTACCAGCATTAAAATAAAAAGCGCGATACTATCTGATATTTCCGGTAATATTAAAGGCTTTGTAAACATACCTACAATTCTTGTTCACAAATAGCAAAATATTATTAAAGACAAATTCTACAAATTCTATTTAATATCTATATATTTACTAACTATTTTTTAATGAAATTGGTAACATTCAACACCAATGAAAAGTATTGGATAATGATTTTTTATGGATGATGAATGTATAATTTGAATATAGTTTCAGACTTCACAATAAAATAATGAGTTAAAACACCACAAAACCAAAAAGTCTTACAATTTCTTTATGTTTTTAGAAAAGGTTTATGTGAATAAAATAATTTATATTTCTTTGTTTTATTTTATTTTTCTATTTTTCTGTCTATTTCTATTTTTATTTTCTATGTTATTTTTCTATTTTTATTTTTATTTCTATTTTTCTTTCTATTTTTATTATATTTTAATTTATATTTTTCTTTCTATTTTTATTTATTTTTATTTCTATTTATTTCTATTTTATTTCTATTTTTATTTGTATTTCTATTTTTATTTCAATTTTTCTTTCTATTTCTACTTTTCTTTCTATTTTTAGTTTATTTTAATTTATATTTTCTTTTTTATTTTTATTTTTCTTTCTATTTTTATTTTATTTTAATTTATATTTTTCTTCCTATTTTTATTTTCTATATTATTTTTATTTCTATTTATTTCTATTTTATTTCTATTTTTATTTGTATTTCTATTTTTATTTCAATTTTTCTTTCTATTTCTACTTTTCTTTCTATTTTTATTTTATTTTAATTTATATTTTTATTTCTATTTTTATTTTTATATAGTCGTCTATATAAATATCGCGGACGTTTAGTTTATTCACATAAACTTTTTCTAAATACACAAAAATATTTAAAAAAGTGAACTCACAACTATTCTAAACACACCATTTGATTTTTTAAAGGTATTTTGATTATTAATCAATTTTGTAGTTAAGAAAGTCTTACCTTAATTGGATTATCTGACTTATGCTTCACTTCGATATCTGTTTTATTTGGCTCATATCCACTCTCATGTTTGTTCAAGATATTTTCACTATTTTCAATTATTGTTACTGAATTCTCATCGTCGCTATAAAACTCTGTTTTAATTCGTTTAGATTCAGGTACGAAAACACCATCATCAACAATGGGATTAAAAACTTTAGTCTCAGTTTCTACTATTGATTCCATTTTTATTTCGTCATTTACTAGAGTTACTTCCTCATTAGATTCAATCTTGATGATATCGTTACCATCAGCAAATGCCTGGGTAGCAGTACGTTTTATTGTAGTTTCAACTGGTCCCACTTCGACAGTTTCAATAACATTTTTGTTGATGATATCGATTAAATTTGGATCAGATTTTATTGGTACTGTTATAGCAGGCTTTTTATTGCCAATTTCTTTAAGTGTTTCTTTGACGCTACTACTTGATTCTGTTAGTAAGCAAACTGGACGTTTCGTACCGTACAATGCGTAATATAAGTCTACCATATCGCAACGTAATTTGGTATCACAACCGAATTTTGTACTATTAAAGGAAATAGATAAGTATATACAAATGAAATATTATCGTAGAGGACTTACTTGATTAAGTCATACAAACGTTCTACCAATTCTGGGCGATCTAAACGGCTTTTTGATTCTTTCATAAATGGTGGATCATCTATGAGTAATTGTGCTAAAGCATGACGTGCAGCTGGATCTGGATCGGTTTCTAATAAAGTAATTAAATGATCTAAATCTTCCCAACGACCATCGACTTTAACGAAGTCAACTAAACACTCCATAGCAGCTATACGCAAATCAATGTATTGCCCATAGGCAGCATAACATCGATAGATTTTCGGCAGCGACGGTAGGTGACCACATTTTTGCAATTTTCTTATAACTTTTAAACATGAAACTGATACCATATATTTATACGATGGTAAATTCTTCTCCAAGTTCAATAATCGGGTGACCTCTTCTAGTACAAGTCTAAAAAATAACAATTATTATGATGTGATGTTTTCATCAATATGTTAAGCGCTTACTTAGCATCCGCTGAGAGACTGTCAGATGTTATGAGTGTACCACGTAACGCTACTGAAACTACGGGTGTTATGGAATTACCCAATGCGTCCACCAATGCTGCTCTATAGTAGACATCGGAGTAATGATTACGTGTATTGTCATTGTATTTAAACAAATCCAATAGAAAACGTATTACATCTGGTGGACATATACCATGTGAAGTACGTAAACCTATAATTAATTAATTTTGAATTGTTATTTATTGAAAAAAAATTTATTTAATTTCATTTTAAATAAATAAATCAATTTTCTAACCTGCCATTGCAACGGGTATAATTTTTATCAGGAAGTAATGTTGAAAGTTGGAAAAATTATTTTGTTTTATAATGTGTGGTGCACTGAATGAACCAAACAATTTGCGGAATATGTTTAACATGGCTGGTGGACCACTCCATTGCGTTACCATTTGATTCGCTACCTATAAATGAAAAGAAATAAATAATTTATAAAGAAGGTAGTTTGTTTGAAGTAAATATTTTTAACCTTTCAATATTACTAAATAGAGAATACTATACACCGCACTCAGACGATCAAATTTTTTAAATCGAAATATCTTAATCGATAATCAGGCTTTTAACGTACGGGATCACCCTATACTGTAGAACAACAACTATGTCACCAACAATAATAAGTTTACTGCTGCTCAGTGTTGGACATTCACAAAGTATATGTTCGAACGATATACAAAAGAAACAGATATTGCTCACTAAGAGGACCGTTTTATTTGATACCTTGAGCAGTATGTCTAGTTTAAAATCCATTAAGAATTGTAATATACTCCCTACTCAGTGCAAGCATTATATTTAAGACTGTCTTGGAGGGATTGAGGTATATGCAAGCATACATTCTGTCTTCATTTCTTCAAGCAGTGGAGAGTAAATTTTAATTTCTCTCATTTCTTAAGTTTTTCCATAATGTTTCTTTCGATAAAATCGATTCATTTAATTTTAATTCGATAAAATATCTTCAATTAATGAACTATGTCGTCAATATTCGTCTTAAAACCCTGTCGTCGGACCAAGTGACCGACGATTTGGGGGTGCTCAGTACTACCAACTGGGAACACCAAGCTACTAAATGGGCTGACTGACGAAGGCTACTCGATGCAGCCAACTAAGTAACTAGATTTAAGCATAGATATTGTTTTTAGACATCAAAAATTACCTCAAAAATAATCTGAACAATCAAAGTTATAAAAAGTATAATAAGAATTATAACTTTTATTCTCAGCATAAAAAGATTTTATAATTCTCACATAGATTGATTAAATTGATTTATAAATATTAAAATTATGTTACTGTTAAAGTGAAAATTCTTTTAATATAATTATTGAAATAATTAAAGGTTCAAAGGTAGCAATGTACCTAATGAATTTTATTTTATTGTAATTTGAGTTTTGAATTAAATACGAACTATCCAAAAGGACCTTATTTGAATGTACTTTCAATATTTCTAGTTTGTTAAACTAGCTTCACATATATAATATATATATAAGTGCAGCCAGTACATTACAACGCGAAATTTTTGTCGTTGTATTAACCCGCTGGGTACTGCTTGTGTAACCTCTTTGCTGAACGGCACTTGGTCGTTGAAATCAAAAATGGCTTCGGGACGTAGACTCAACCGTTCTTGGAACCCGCAAAATAATTAAGTTATCATCCCAGATTGGCCATATAAGAACCCCAATCAATTAAATCAAACAAATTATTTTAAAACTTACCTTTGTTAAGCAAAGAGCTGCATTACACCGCACTTTATAGAAGAATTTTTCGTTTTCTATTGTATCTGTTAAAGCTAAACGAGTAGCATTTGTTGAATAATGTTCCAATGCATGGATAGCCTGAAACTGTGCCGTAACGTCACGTTCATGGCGCAACTGATATTGCCACTGAAAATCTGGTTGCTCAATCAACAAATCACGTATTAAAATCATTTCCGGATCTAAACGTATCCACAACACAGGCGAATCACTAAACAAAACAATTGAAGAATTAGTTACATAAAAGAATAAATAAACCATTGACTTTACTTACTCCATAGCAGATAAATCCATATCCACTTCCTCTCCAGTGCAAAGTGGAATTTTCTTTTTTTTATTTCTCCTACTTTTTGAATGACAGGTAATATCAGCTTTCACCACAGTATTCTCAATCTGTAAGGTGTGCTTAAATGTGCCATCCAACTCCTGCAATTGCACCAATAATGGACCATTGTACTTTTTAACACCGCGTTGATTAACAAAATCTTGACGTATTTCCAATTCAATTGTGTTACGCTTACGATTGAATACCGAAGTTAAAGAAAATTTTGCATGACCACCTGTGCGTACCCATTGATCCATAAATACCGACATATCTTTTCCAGTAACAGTGAAAATTGCTTTTATAAATATATTTGTAGAAATAAGTAGATGAGACCATAAGCCAGCACCAATTTTCGTTACTGCTGCATTTGTGGCTAAAGCCAGTTGTTTATTGAACACCTAATATAAAAGACATTAGTAATATTTCTTAAATATACAGTATATGAACCTTTTAGTACCTGTAGCAGTAACTGCTGACCAATACGGTGCTCCAACATGCGTATAACCAGATGAGCCTTTCGACGCATAGCTTCAACATATTTCGGTGAAACAGTATGTAAACTTTTTATTGGAAAGTGGTGTATGATTTCTTGCTGCTTGTTTGTGGAATTTGCTGGATTTGTGCTTGACACGGGCAAAGGTGCGGGTGGCTGACTACAATCCAGTATTATACCACCATACTGTTCTTCATACTTAACAACACGATCTAGCTCTTCTTGTATCCATGTACGATACTCAGATATACCGAAGCATTTGCGAGAATATAGGCCACACAAATATTCGGCTATACCCTTAGCTAGCCAAGTATCAGACCAATAATGCGATGTTATAAAACAACCGAAGAATTGCTCAGCTACTGCACGCGACATAAGAGTACGTGATATATACGTTTGATCAATAATTGCAATTGAATGCAGTAGATGTACAGATGCGATACTCATAGTAGCGTAGGCACTTATCTCCGTATCTAGTTCATCTACAAAAACCTGTAATATCAACATATATCAATTAGAAAAATATATTACATATATATTATAAATATTACTTGTTTGTAGCAGGAGAAAGGATAACGAGTCGATAGCGTTTCTTCGAAAAATTCAAATGCTTCATGCAAATAACGTACTGTATTCTTTAACAGCGGCATGAGTTGCGGCAAACAGAAATGTGTTACTTCATGCATATGTGTATCCACATATATTTCAAATGGACCTACTGCTAAAGCTATATTTGGCGCACAGACTGGCGTTGATAATGTATAATGATAAGTCTTGGAGCGCAAATCTGGTGTCATTACTATTTCGACTAACTCTCCGCATGACACTGCTGTTAAATGTTTTTCAACCGTAAACTCCAGTTTCCAAGTGCATGGATCTGCAAAACTATCAATGCAAGGAAACCACAGTCGCGACGAATTTTCATATGCATATGTAAACATATGTGCGCTATTTGGCACATTTTCATCTTCACTTGGTGGTGGATTTACAAAATGTATACCACCTGTTGGATTCTCTATAGAAAACTCAATTGCTATACGTAAACCACGACCTTCCTGTATCATATGATACGCTGCTGGTGGTACTATAATTACAACTTCACCTGCATTTGCATCTGGATCTGTAATTTGTGCTGCACGCAGGTGATGTTTCGATATATCTTCTAGGGCACGTCTATCATTTTTAAAGGAAATAAAAATATGTTTAATTATTTAGACAACATTAATGGAGTGTAAAATATATACGTTTTATCATCCTTTTGACATAGATTTAAAAATGCATCATAATAGTAGAAATCCGTATTGCATACGTCATTCAGTACGATGTTGTATATGGTACATTGCTTGGCGTTTAGACGTATAATGCGTAAGTCCTCCTTTGTTGGTACAATTGTCAATTCCACAGTGCCCTGTTGATATATTTTACTTTTTATTAATTTTCATTTATGATAGACTTTTATTATACTTACAATTATGCATTTTCTTTCCAAACTAATGCCGGTGAGACTCACAAGTTGATGCGCCGTGCTGTTCCAAAAAATTTATTAATTTTATTAATCTTTCATATATTTCAGTATACTTATAATTTAAATGGTCGCACTGGTGCACTCGGCTGCTCCAAATTATTATCCATATTATTTTTAATTCAAATTATTTATTTTTTCATATTTACAAATAATGCGTAAACCCAAACTATAACAAAGAACTGTCAAACAGCAAAGCCTAATGTAAACACACAGTGGTGGCTAAAAAAAATGTTGCTTTTATTTATATTCAATTTGTTAATTCACAATAGAATAAAATGTGTGTGTTTGTTTTATTTTTAAACAAAGAATACAGTATTTTTTACATTTAACCCTATATAATACAGTTTGACTTTTATAAATATTTCACTAACATTTTTATTAGTATATTCATACAGCACAAGTAATTATAGTTTTGATTGTTATTTTGCTTTTTGGATTTGCTGCGCTATGTTCACACATAAAATCTTAATTTATTTCAATGCATTTTCTTATATCATTTATTTGTTTTATTTGCTATTATTTATTTATTTATATAAAATTGTATAGTCCTCTATATAAATATCGCCGACATTTCGAAGTGTCTTTGACTTCTTCCTAAGGACGTGGTATTATTACAACTGCTCTTGAATAAGCGATTATTTATATTGGAATTTTTTTACAAATTCAGTTTTAAATAATAAACAATATATTAAATACTAAACAATATACAATAAAAAATATCCAATTAAGGTTGTAATAGTATATATGACGCCATCCTCAGAGCGGAGTATTATTACAATTGATTATGGAAACATGTAAGGGGGCTATTTATACTGGAATCTGTTTCTAGTTCCTACATGATAAACAATACACATTGATAATTTCGTTTTGCTTTAATTTATAAAAATAGTTCAAAAAATCGCTTAACATTTATAAATTACAAATTTTTTTCAACTTAATTTATTTAAAATTCAATTGTATTATTATTATTGTTAGGGAATGTGGTACCGCGATCGTCGGGTCTATTGTGCCTCACCTGGGTTTGGATTAAAAAGTAGTGTAGAACCTACTTTGCAGAGTTTTATTGTCCAAATATAAAAGAGTAGAGAGTAAATCCATCCCGTTAAATAATTTTATAGGTCTCTTGTCTTCATCGATGAACAGTCTGATAGACTGTCAAAGAGTATCTTCCTAGAAACCTATTTCTTCTGGATGTCATTTTTAACTAATAAACATGCTTATTTTCTATGGTTTTAGATTTACTCTTATTATTATTTTGTTGCCCAATCCAACACAATCACATTTTATTTGTCAAGTCATAACAAACAGCTGTGAATTTTAGAGTAATTTTACTACTCTATCAAAATATCTAGAGTGTTATAAATTAATCTTGAGTGTTACACATTTTGCTCAGAACTTACCATCGAAAATGAAAATTGCACTAAAAGTGAGGCTCGATTGAAAAATTTGCTCTAGTTATCAATCGAAAACGTCATTGGTTTGATATTTATTGTAATCATATATATTACTTTTTAGTTAGGTATTCATATATTAATTTTATTTTTATTATAAGTTAAGAACTTATGACTATGGCTATTTTAGCTTATTTCGTATTACACCTTCACTACTGATTTTTATTGGGATGATTGTGGTCGCATATAAATTTCGTTTTGTTTCAACAGTCAATTCCTGCAACACATCAATCAATATCTACAACATATTTCGAATACTGTTTAGTCAGTAATCTTTGTCATTGGTACTTCTACTTTTATAAGGACCACCTTCCGATTTCTGTAATCAATCAGTGTTATGCACGACCTTTAATGTAGTTTGTAGTGATTGGAATAAATTTTTAGATCATTGCATATCTTTACTTAAACAGAAGTAAATCGAAAGTTTTTAAGATATTTTTAGAAGATCGGAAGTTCTTTCTCAGCTTAAGAACAGAGCGATGTGTACCTTTTAGAAAGGCATCGACATCTCATCGGATTGAGACAGCTTTTTCTGCATAATATATACGTGGTAGTTTTTTACATCACACTATACAAATTAGTCATATGGCGCGATGACATTTTACGGCTATTGCGGATACAGATTGATGATAGTTTTTGGTCATGGCAAGCATACCGTCAACAATAATACTTTGTTGCTGCTGTAGGGATAGTGTCATCGATAACACTTTGCGGTCATTGCAAGCATAGTGTGATGACACTTTGCGACCATTCCAGGCATAGCGTTATAAATAAGACTTTGCGGCCATTGCAGACATAACGTTATTAGTGACACCTTGTCGACGTTGTAGACATAGCATTATCAATGATACTTTGCGGCCATTGCAGGGACAGTGTCATCGACGATACTTTGCGGTCATTATAAGCATAGTGTGATGACACTATGTGGTCATTGCAGGCATATCAACATCAATGACACTTTGCAGCCGTTGTAGACATAGCATCATCAATGATACTTTGCGGCCATTGCAGGGATAGTGTCAACGATGACACTTTGCAGCCATTGCGGGGATAGTGTCATCAATGACACTTTGCAGCCGTTGCAGGGATAGTGTGATGACACTTTGCGACCATTCCAGGCATAGTAATAAAACTTTCCGGCCATTGCAGGCATAACGTCATTAGTGACACCTTGCAGCCGTTGTAGATATAGCATCATCAATGACACCTTGCAGCCGTTGCAGGCATAGTGTCATCAATGACACTTTGCAGCCATTGCAGGCATATTGTCATCGATGATGAGACTTTGCACACATGTCATGTAGAACGATCACATTAAACGAAATCAATATGCTTACTGCCTAAGAAGTTGTAAGAACAAATTAAGTTGTTTTTATTTCAATTTATTATTTACAGTGTATGTAATATAATATAATAATGTTCTAATATATATTTAATGTATAATAATTTCCGTAATATTTAATTTAGTTGTAAACATTATATTTATCTTATACGTCATAAATACAATCGCATATATATTGTAAAATAAGAAAAAAAAATAATTTTGAATTTAGTTTTTGCATAATTCGCATTTTAAATATTTTGCGCTTTAATCAAAGACTTATTTATTAATACAAGTAGCGATGGGTGTGTGTGTGTATTTGTTATAAAAAATCATATATAAAATGGAAGAATATGTATGAAGATGAATTAATTGTGAAATATATGAAATAATGAATTAGCAATTAATGCTAAAATACAGAAATTGAGAAGAAAACTATTTATGATTTCTATTTTATCGATTTTATTCCGATGAAGTGCAGATTTACCAATAAAATAAAAAGTGTGAAAAATTAATGCATTTTAATAAAGAGAAAAAAAAAATAATAAATGATGACGTTATTTTATTTATTTATGTTTTCTTCGTACCTAAATAAATCAAACAATTTAACCATATATCATTAGCATATATACTTTCTGTATAAATTTATATATTATATATTAACGTTCATCAATCATATCATGTTTGCATAAAGTAAACAGTACAATTTTATTTAAGAGACAAATCACAAAGTTAAATAAAAAAATATATATATTATTTATATATTATTATTTTGAATATAATCATAAAATGATAATTACATATAAACAAAATCGAAAAACTTAAGGCATTAGGGTCAATAATGCAAGCTCAAATATAGAAAAGTTAAAAAATTTAATTATTATTTTTTGTTTCGAAATTCATAAAATTTTACGAACAAAAATCTTTATAAATGAAACGTTTTTAGATGTACTAAGATTTTTATCTATAATTGCTAACATTTTTTATATCTTTGCTGTTAGAATTTAGCACATAAATTACAATTTTTTTGTATATATTTTGTTTTTCTATATTATTTTTTATTGTTCCAATACAATTGAAAAGGATTTTTGCGTTATTGCGTTTGTTCTTTGTAATGCAAAACTTATGCGTTTTATATTTTTTTTTTTTAGTATTACAATCTTTTATTGAAATATTTTGGTTTGTTACTTTTGTTTTAATTAATTTTTTTTGTTTTTTAATTGATTTAATATCAAAAGGAATGATACAAAAACTATTTGAAGCGTTCTTACATCGGTCCGTCAATAGCGCTCACTTTAAGCCTGAAATAATACACTGAACGACCGAATAAAAATGCTGAAATCAGAAAAATAGCGATGTATCCCAAATAGATTATGCCATGATCCTGAAAAAATAAAACAAAATAATTATATATCAATTAAATAATTGTTATAGATTACAAAAAAAAAAAATTAATTGTAATGTGTCTAAAGTGCGGTGCAGACTATCATTTTTAAGTGTCATTCTAGAGAGAAAGTCATTCTTAAATGACATTCAAAAATGATAGTCTACACTTTTTGGTGAGCACGTCATTCAGTTTCTCGCCAACATGTTGTGAATGATAAGTCTGTCACATGCATTCGTTCACGTGGTTGCACTAACACACTTACAGTTTGCAAAATACATTTACAGCGTGCGTAAACACCCTTATTCTTCAAAAATTTTACTTGAATGACAGCTTTTGAATATGAGCATGTTCAAGTTCGGTCGTTAGAATAAATTTGAATAAGAGAGAGCGCAACTTAAATGACATTCAAAAATAATAGTCTGCACCGCGCTTAATGTCACATACAGACTATCTCATTTAGGCGGTTTTGACCATTATAGCCACTAATGAAAATGATTTACCAATGAGCTAATTATCAATAAATCTACACATTTAGAGCAAAAAATGTCGAATGCAACCCTTAAAAAAAAATTTCCCATAAGGGAAATCCCCAAAATTTGGAATATGTGTCATATTAAACTGTTGTTTTTTAAACCTCTCCCTAAAGCCTTATCTGTGGTTTGTATTTCATCCAAATTAGTGCAAGAATGGAAGGAATCTATCAATACAGTAAAATAAGTGAGAGATCCAAAGTAATGCTAGTTTGGGTTCCTGGAAATGAGCGCACAGACGAGCTTGCTAGACTAGGCGCCTCTTCCACGGATACTCCTATTTCCATCCCTGCACCTGTCAGCATGCAAATAGTAAGTGGTCATCTGGACCTGGCCGCCTCAACAGCCAGGTCGAGCGTACATGACAATTCTATTTCAAATGTAGAACCTCTGACTTAATACACAGAAGCAAATCAGAGATATCTAGGTTAATATATGTCTTTATAGGGCACTGAACCATAGGACGGCATTGAGCTAGACTTGGCTCAACAGAACACCTGATTTGTCTATGTCCAGGTTTGGCCAGATATAGGCCTAAGTTTCTGATAGCCCCCTTCTTCAACACACTGGCGGAATCTGTAGCATTAGCATTGGCCAGATTCTTGCCTTTATAAATGCCTCTGACTGGTTCTAGCTTGACCTTCTGGGTAGCTAGCTATTACGAAGTTTCCTGAATTCAACACGGCTTTTTTAGCTAATTGAGGAGGAGGACTCGTTCTTCCTTCCACCACAACTAATTAACTAACTATGAGTCTCTGTATAGGGCTCAAAATAACGACATACTTCTAAACACACAGTATGAGAAGGTACCAATTACTTTAGTGGAGAGTTATAACATTAGTTATTCGTTTAATTAAGGAGGAATTGATACTAATCATATCTACCTAATGTAGCCCAAAATTAGTAGGTATAATAAAAAAAGATGATATGAATATACAATATTATGAAGTTTTTAGCTTCGACTTTAATAAATAGTGTAAATATTATCACAATAAACCTATAGACTTTGAAATATTATCAACAGTAAGTCTATTACTTACATCCAATAACATTCATTATCTCTAAAAGTATGTATATTCCGTTTTAATCTTTGAAGCATATTAACTATATCATAAAATTGTTTACCATATTAGCCAACTTATCTCATGAGAAATATTTTAAAATTATAAAATAAACGATAGTAAAACAAATATTTTGCGTTGCTGAACTCAGAAATAAACTAAAAAAAGGTAATCAAACTTTTTGAATAAAATTGCTTCTTAGGGAATTTAAACAATTACAGACACCAATTTAAAGAGTAAAAGTTATCTGACCGCTTAGGTTCATTCTATCAGATATAAAGTATATATATGTTGTTGACATTACTTGAAGAGACCAGCATAGCGGGATATGACACCATAAATTTGTGTATGAATGGGAACATATAAACAGTTGAATGACATCATGATGGAAAGAGCTCTAAGGTTCGCAAGTGTTGGAAACTAACATATGTACATATGACAAATTTCTATTTAGCAGATCCCTGTATCTTGAACTCAGGTGTGCAAAAACCTCAAGTAATCGTCCTCAAGTAATTATTCAATGCGTCACTATACCTTAGCCTCAATTGGATATACAGTTCTCACTGTATAGGGTAGATGTTTTTTATTTCTAGAGATCTTCGGTGAGATCTATCGCCCCTATCTTAAAAGGGGACAAAGGATCTAGCAGTGCAAATAATAATAAAAAACAATAAAAAAAATTAACTGTTATTAACTTATTAAGTAATGCCCAAAGCATTACAAAGTAAATATATTTTTGTAGAACTAAGCACGATTAAGCTAGTCACTGATAATCAGAGAAATAAGAAAACTGCGTCGGGACATTCTGCACCTCGAAACGTGACGTCTGGCACTGTTAAAGAAATTAAAAACTTCATTATGCTCTTAGGAATTAAAGAAATTCGTTCAGTGTCATATTCGCTGGACCAAGGTAGCCGTATGATTTCTGGCCGTTTCCAAAAACAAAAAAAAAAAAATAGAGTGAAAGGATCTTCAGAAATAATGAAAAGATAATTAATGTAGTTAATCTCGAAGTTGTAAACCAAAAAAATCTGATTTTGTGGACTGTTTTAGAAAGCGAACTTCTGGCGTCAAAAATGTATAAAAATTTATGAAAATTTCTCTTTTTCTTATTCTCAATTTTTTAAATTCATATTATATGTAACTGAAATTTCATATGTGACGTCACTATGACTCTGCCTGCCTCTCTCTCTCTCTCTCTCTCTCTCTCTCTCTATCTATCTCTCTCTCTATAAATATGGCGTCAAGCAAACTTTTATTAGTCCCATCGTTCACACCCATATTGTCGCATTGATAATTTTTTACACTTACCTCAGCATATTTTATTGTTCCAATCGTTATACAAACACCTCCAATCAAAGATAACAGCCCAAATATGGCGAGTAATATACCACGTCCACAGGCAAATCGTGAACCCACAGACGATACTTTCCGGCAATGTGGACAACGTGCCAACTTATTGTGATAAGTGTTAAACTAAGGAAGAAGTGAAATTATCATTAAATAATTGAATAGAGTAAGAGTAAGAAGATGAAGAAATATGAATGCTTACGAGAAATGTATCAGAACAATGGCCACATGTGACACGGCACATACCAGGCATCGCCGGTACGGGAGGAGTGACCGGACTAGGTGCTAAATTAATAATTCGCTTGCAATTAGAGCGTGGGCAAGCGATACGCTGCGATGAGCTTTTACAAATCAGCAAACAATTACATGGGCAACGCACATACTTTTTACCAGGTGGTGCATTCCGAATGGGCTGTAAAAACTTCCATGAAAATCTATATTGTAGTAATGTAATACATTCTATACTTACAGTTGCTTCATTGCAATGAGTACATTTAACCACATGTTGTTCCCGCTTAGTGGTTATGTCTATCATATTTTGACAAACACGACATGTAACCATGGGTACTCCACCGGCACCAGCACTTTGCTGGTATGGTGGAGGCACTTCGTCTGGTCCAATAAATGGCACATTCGCCTGCGATACACCACCTTTAAAAAAAACAATAAAAACAAATTTTAATAATATTTTGTACACGTTTTATTTACATGTAAATTATTTATTGTAAAAAATGTAAACCTTTTTGATAAAACAGATACATATTGTTAGAAAATCACATTTGAACTGATTGCAGTAGACATAAACCACAAAGTAAATTGTATTAAGCTAAGATGAATGAAACCATTGATCGTGGTAACTGCGGCAAGTCTAGTATTCGCGTTTAATGTGCATTTTTATTGAAAGTATTAAAATGATAACTAAAATATGTCAATGCTGAAATAACAAATGCTATTGCCTTTCATTGCTGTTCATATTTGTTAAGTAACTAAATAAAACATAAGATCTTGATTAAGAGACATAAGATGAAACACCGAAGACCTATTATTGAATGCATTCATTCTTGAGAAATTTCAGCGAGGCTAGAAAGTATAACAAACAGACAAAGCAGCCAACTTTACTCGTTTTCTTTAGACATTTCTACTCCATCTTAACTGTGATTTTATATTTCATTCAAGCATTTTACAATCTATTCTTTAAGTTAGTCTTCACAGGTAAACTGGAATTTTGAATCAAATAAAATTTATGCTAGTAGTACTCACATTGTGAGAAATTCACTCTCCTATTCAACTATAATTATAAATAAAAATTTATTTAAATAAATTTAAATTTTATATGTCGAGAATAATAAAAACAGAAAACCATCCTTGAAGAAAAAACTTATTTCAGAAAAAAGAAGAAATAACTTCTTTTTGAAAAAAAAATAACTTTTTTTTGAAAAAAGAAAAAATAATTTCATTGAAAAAAGAAGAAATAACTTCTTTTTAGAAAAAGAAGAAATAACTTCTTTTTGAAAAAAGAAGAAATAACTTCTTTTTGAAAAAAGAAGAAATAACTTATTTTTGAAAAAAGAAGAAACAACTTCTTTTATAAAAAAGAAGAAATAACTTATTTTATAAAAAAGAAGAAATAACTTCTTTTTGAAAAAAGAAGAAATAACTTCTTGTATAAAAAAGAAGAAATAACTTCTTTTATGAAAAAAGAAGAAATGACTTCCTTTAGAAAAAAGAAGAAATAACTTCCATCTTTTTCAAAATGTAGGTTAGGTAAGGTTGAAAGGGCGCGTGCTGATAAAACTCTATTGCCTAATATAATGCTTTCAAAAACCTAACCATTGTTATCTCGGTGTACTATTCTTGTTGAACCATTTAGTCTTCCCAAAAAAACTAAAAATATTCGACAAATACACTATCATTAACTCTGTCAGATAAGTAAAGAAATAGTCTCCCAGACATTGAAGCGCTTCGTTTCTAGTCCTGCACAATAACATAGAAAGTGGCTAGTGGATTCTACTAATGACTAATAGATTGAATTTAGACACGTACCGTAGGTAGCTGAAGAGGAATAACGATGAAGTCCTCCTCAGTTAGCTAAAAAAACCATTGTCATTCCATATTCCTTGTAACTATGGGTAGAAAGTTGAACATATGGGAACCAGCCGGACGGATTGATAAATGCAAATATTTTAAAACTAATGGAAATATCGCTAAGACAACTAAAGAATTTCGGGAGCGTACAACAGTAAGCCTGGAAAAGCCGAGATATAGACACAATAGATGTTCCGAAGTCTTTTTCTCAAGCGCTAATAGCCACTTAGTATATAATACAACAGTGCAGGCACAGTAATGCTCCATACCTACCTATTGTCAGGCGGACTAATTTTATTATATATACTACGGGTTTACTTTTATGGAATAAGTTAGAGATTCTACATTTGGAGTTTGAAGATCATACCGCTCTTGGTCTGATTGGTGAAAAATGTTAGTTTTGAATTTCGGTTAGTCTGCCGCAAAAAATTATCAAATGTCAACTTTCGACTGCGGCTGGCAGGAGCAGGAAGGAAGAAACAGGAGGTTGGAAATACATAACAATTGCCATTATTCGGTGTTTAATAATTGCTTAAATATGTATTTAAATTATCAACACAAGTCTCTACAACTTATTATAATTTTATTTTTAGCAAAGAATTTCCAATTTTGAGATAATAGTTTCCAGTTTTTCTTTCGACTTCCTACTTAGAAGAAGTGAATATGAATACTTCGATGAATACAAGAACGATAGAACTAACTATTCAAATCACTTTAACAACATTACGACTTCAGCAACAATTTTATTATTGCGAAAAAAAAACTGAACATTTGATGATTGATCGTTTAAATATCAATAAAAAAATGTGATTAATTATATTGATAATAGCACTTATTTACATATATGATTGCTGTGACATATAGACAGCACAAAATTTTCGATTTTATAAGGTCTACAAAGTTGGGAGTACTATAATTTGTGACTAATCATTTGAATATTGAACAACCTACTTAAAACAAATTCAATATCAAAAGGAAGTATAAAATATTAACAACGAATATATTAGTTCATGCACAAACGTATTGGATGGATGATTTGCGATTTTCAGTGGCTTATATGGAGCAAAAGTGTTATAAGCAAATAAATATAACTAAGTTATTTCCAATTTTATTAAAAAATATAAACAATCACAATTGGTTGATAAAAAGTGGGAATATCTGAGTTTAATTTATTTCCTTACAATCCCATAAATAAGCCATATGCATTTCTCAAATTAATAATAAGTCATCAATGAAAATTGATTAATTTATCCTAGACATAAATAACCAACCCGATAAATATTTAATAAATTATAAATAAAGATAAAGATAAATAAAGAAATATTTATAAGAAACAATTATGTTTAAATTTAAAAAAAAAAATCAATTTATAATAGTTAATTAAATTGATATAGCTATAGTTTATGTGGTTTATGTAGTTCTAAAAATAACTCAGTAAGAATACCGTAAAATTCTATATCTATTTTAAAAAGATTTCTTTATCATAGAAAATAAAAATCTTAATTTTTAATTATAAATATTGATGGAATTCTTGAACTGGCGCCACCATTGCAGAAGATTAAGTTGGTAGTTAGAACTTTGCATGATATATATAGACAACTAAAAACTTCTTGATAAAAGACAAATGATATGGTTCTTTGGTTGGTTGCAGTGGTATATCAGCAGATATGTACTGCCCATAATTACCTAAGAGATAAAAAGAAAAACTTAGACCACTCCATTAAATTTAGGTAATATAATAGATCTTTCGTCCTTATCTATAAACACACTGATAACCTCTTAAAGAATTACTTCCCTAAAAACTGTTACATGTGAAAGCCAAAGCTATGTACCTCCAGCTCAAAAAGTACCCGCATTTTGTAAATAAAACACACAAATTTAAATTTTATTCATTATCTATTTTATCTCCTTCAAAATATGCTCCTACTGAAGCGATACACATCGCTGTATGTATGGCTATGGCTTTTAGTTCCTTCGGCGAATTCTCTTTTACCGATTCAATCGACTCAAAACGCTTACCACGAAGGGGCAATTTGAGTTTCGGGAACAGAAAAAAGTTGTACGGCGCCAGAGATGGCGAATATGTTGCTTGAGCGATGACAGTGGTGCCGTGTTTGGTCAAAAAATCGCGTACAACAAGAATTTTCCATAGTAAAAAACGCTAAAAGAACTTGAGGTAGTCTCACATTAACAGCTGCTGTAAACAAACCAATTGACAGATGGCGCTCAAATTTGTACCATATGTCAAGAAAGGGTTACCAACATAACAAAAAAATTTTTGAAAAAGGTCTATTACTTAAGGAGTAGTTAACAAACAACAAAATCCGGATACTTTTTGAACAGAAGGTAGTGATAGAGAAAATATTACTTCATTGTTTTTTTTCCTGTAAATTTTCACAACTTCTACAATAGGTATCAAAAGGACCACATAGTTTATCTGCGTTGGTGACAGTGATGTAACTTATCTAGCCGTAATTCGGAAAGAGCACGTGTAACTACATATTCGATGAAAAATATATTAACTATGTTTTATTGTGTGATTCAAGAAACTATAAATCGCTGTTGGTTTTTTAGCTGAGCACTAACTGCTTGCAACACATTTGCTTACATGAGATGTATGTTACTAGCAATAACAAATGCAAAAAATACCAGGCACTGGTTACTTAAGGACCTTTGCAAGATATACTGAATTTTTTTAAAACTTTAATCAACTTCTTTAGAATTTCGTTCGTGATTTTGGAATAAACTATCACTTAAAATTTACTTACATACATACATATTTAAATTACCATCATTAACTGTCCTTAAAGACTCTAATCTGGTATCAATGTTTTCGTACGTTTACTTTTGGAACCTCAAAATAGATAACCCTGTATAATATGTGTATGCAAATTATAGGTCATAAGTTTTTCCCTACAGCAATAAAAGTTTTAATTATTTACATTAATAATTAAAGTGAAATGTGTTTCATTTAAATTGTTTGCCGTTGATTTTCATAATGTATGATATAATGAACATTTTTTATAGAATAAAGATTTTCACTATTCTGGAAACTAAGAACTGATTAAAAATGAATATATGTATGTACAATATATATATATATATATAGAAACTAAACTGTGAAGTATTAATATGCATGTTTTCAGTGATATGAGTGAATATAACTCAAAGAAGTTGTTACTTTTCATGTACAAAACCACTTATAACTGCAAGAACCAGAGCCAGAGGAACTTGTTCTTTGTTTAATATTTAAAGAAAACTTTTAACAATAATCAACAATAAAATATATATATGGAATGATAAAACAACAAAAGAAGAAAAAAAAACAAAAAAATACAGAGACCAATACCATTTAATTCATTATCAAAATTTAATCAAGCAAAAGGCACAGAAAACCTTCTCTTGTGGCAAAAGATAGAATGCATGATGACTCATGACTGTAGTTTCGGAATAAGAAATATAAACAAACATTTCAACCTAAAAATGACGATAATGCGAAATAAATAATTTTGTTTAATATGAATTGCGATTTGACTGATATAACAAATTTCTGAATTTACATTAAACTAAAAACAAAAAAAAAATGAGAACAAACCGTACATGAAAATATTTTTATTGATTTTTTACTCTATAAACTGTGTTATGGTGTTAGAGATAAACAAAGTTCAAGGGAACTTTAGGTATAATAAGAGGCAACTATTGTTTATTTTCCGAAGAGTGTAGATTCAAAATGTTTAAAATGAAAATATAAACCTATGTATGTTTTTGGAACTGCTATATTATGAGTCAACATAAAACACTTCATAAATATACAAATGTTATCCTAGTTTTATAAGTACGATATAGTATTATATATAGTGTTATAAGTATTATGGTATATGTTTTTCGCTACACAAGTTACTTTCAAAGTAAACACGATGTAATCGTCATAGATGGTTCAAATAAAAGCATCGCTAAGGTAAACCCTACACTAACCTAGGACATAGTAGTATTAAAGTTCTTCGCTACCAAGTTACTTTCAAGTAAAAGATGTAATTGTCATAGATAGGTCATAAAGCATCGCTAAGGTAAACCCTACACTAACCTAGGACATAGTAGTATTAGAAGTTCTTCGCTACACAAGTTACTTTCAAAATAAACACGATGTTATCATCAATAGATAGACTCACCACAAGCATCGGTAAGGTAAACACTCGCCCTAACGTTTTGACAAAGTTTCAAGAAATTTGTACGAATGGAAACAGTCGATACATGGATAGATGTCTTCCAGATTTCTTCTTAATCCATATAACGATTTTCTTTTATCGGTATATGCATTCTTTCGAAAAGGTACAAAAGTCACTGGTGCACCTAATCAGGTGTATATGGAGAAGGATTGAAAGCCCAAATGCAAAATAGTCACAAATGCGTAACGTTAAGAGCAATTTTTTTGTGACTCAACTTGTGTAGAATAAATCGTGAATAATATTAAAGAACTCTACAATGTGGTTGTGACAAACATTGTCAACGCGACACCAATTTTCCAGGCACATCGATCTGAGAACGGAACTTAGTAGATATTATGATATGATGATATATACTTGCTTATATATCTTACTTCTCGGAATACTAACGGAATAAAACTTTATCATCGAGCACATTGTTGTTATCTCCGTTGTAACAGGAGTTGATGTATTACTCAAACTAGGAAATGGAGGAGGGTGAGCTCCTATAATGTATGTTGGATTTCAATATGTGTGTCATGAAAGGAAAAATTGTTTTGACAGAAACCATTTTCCTTAACAAATAGCATTTTAGATTTCATATAAAGCTATTTAACATATGTTGACAACCATTTATAGTTGTCTACACATGTAAGTGCTGAATTTTGACATAATTGGAGGTTATTTCGGTGTGTCTCTTAGAATTATGAAGTCCATACTGACACAGAAAAGGTTATAAAATGCAATATGTAGAAAAGCTATAAGCTACAAAAATCAAGAAATAGTTTTATTATTATCAAAAATTTGCTAAAGATTTTAGTAACGCTTAGTTTCAAGTGCCACACCCATAGGATTTTTGTTTACAAAAATAGCAACCTACAGAGACTAAAGCATTGAAGTGCTTTACCTCGAAACAGGTCAAGTTTAAATAAAATCCCATCCATCAATATCGCCTCAACTTTTACAGTTCTTTCGCCTAACCGCGTCCTCACTCATTTACCATAGTTGTAATTCGTTTCAGTATAGCTAGTACATATATCTCCACGGGTATAACAACAACAAACATCAGTTCATGTTAAAACTATCCCTATAACAATAATAACTATGACACTATTTCATTTAGTTGCCAAAATTTCTTCAGCTTAGCCTGAGTAATTTCAATCAGCCGTATCACATCTCTATCCGCCGTCAACTTATCTTCTACATTTTTTCCTATACTATTTTTGCTCTTTGTTTGTCTTCTAATTCATTTATCTTTCTTTCAGAGTCAATTAGAAGACTGCACCTTGACCTGCAGTAGTTTAAATCAACTCATTCACCTTCCTACCTCGTCTATGCTATCTCAGCTCTTACGTTTGTCTTGTAATTCATTCCAAATTTTACTTTCAGGGTTTACTTTTACCGTGAATAGTATCATTCACTCTATTTGTTATCTATATCATCCTTAGCTCCCATAATTTTTGCCAACTTTAATCCTATCTCAGCTCTTGTGTCCTTTAATTTATTTATGATCCTGCTTTTTTTGGAAGTTCATAGAAGGATTTCATTTTGAGGTGCAGTAGTTTCAATCACCCTATTCACTTCTTTATGTGTTTTCCTCATATCCTACATTTTTCCCTAACTACTCCTATCCTATCTTATCTCTTGCATTTATCTTACAATTCACTCCTGATTTTACTTTCAGGGTTTACTTTTACTTAAAAGTGTGTTTCAAAACACCCTATTTACTCCTATATCTATTTTATCTGCCACATTTTCCCCAATTTCTCCTATTCTATCTCAGCTTGAAATTCATTCTTATCTTAAAATTCATTCATGACCCTTCTTCACGGTCCATAGAAGGGTTTCAACTTGACCTATAGTAGTTCTTATCACCTTATTCGCTCCTCTATCTGATTTCATCGTATCTCTCACATTTTTCCCAAATTTTTTCTATCCTATTTTTGCTTTTGCGTTTATCTTGCAATTCATTTATGACCCTGCTTTTAGAGCCCATACAAGGGTTTCAACTTGACCTGTAATAGCTTCTATCACCTTCTTTGCTTCTCTATCTGCCTTAACCGTATCTTCTAGATTTTTCCCAAACTTCTTCTATCCTATTTCAGATTTTGCGTTTATCTTGAAATTTATTCATGACCCTTCTTCACGGCCCATAGAAGGGTTTCAACTTGAACTGTAGTAGTTCTTATCACCTTATTCGCTCCTCTATCTACCTTTACCGTATCTCTCACATTTTTCGCAATTTCTCCTATCCTATCTCAGCTTTTGCGTTTAACTTGAAATTCATTCATGGCCCTGCTTCAGGATTTCAGGGTTCATAGAAGTATGACACTAGCAGTAAAACTGCGTCATCAATTTTAACAGTAATTGAAATATTGCCAATTATTGTTTTAGTGACTATGTATTTTCAACGCGATTTTGATTAGATCAAATAAAATTTAATTTATTTATTTAATTAGTTTATAATATTTATATATCACCCACAATTCTCAATCAAACATCTAACAAAGCTAAAAATAAACATACGAATTCATTAAGAATAAGAATTGTCATTATGACTCAAGTCGAGTCGAGTCAAGTCAAGTCAAGCCAGTGCAGCAATCAAAAGGCATTTACGTACTGGAATATCTAAGACCAACTATGTGTGGAAATCTCGGCATTCAGTTTCAATTGCAGCAACTCAAGCGGAGGAATGTAATTGAATCTATCAATTATTTACTTTGTGCATATTTCAAATGCATAAAGAGCCAAGCCGAGCCGAGCAGATGAGGTGAAGTATGACACTTAGTGGGTTTCTGTATGCACCCGCATGCATAAATCTTTAAGTTCATTTATAGATTTTAAAGTGACACCTCAAACGAAAAGGTTTATGAACTTCTTTCCAAAGCAAAGCATGTGGCAGTACAGAATTTTTTTTTCTGCGTTGGCACTTTGGCTGCAGACGCACAATTGCATGACAAAAATGCGTCACATTGAAATTTATTTCTTATTTCTTTTTTTAACAATATACCACCATTACAATCATTAATTAAATTTATTTAACATTAAAATAATTATTAGTTTATATAGTAAGCAGCACTCACCTTCATTGGAATCGTTGGCTCCAATTACACTTTCTCCGCCACTAGCCGACGCGTACCCGGTCGTTGTATCTTCATTTTGCAATAAACTTTGTTTTTCTGGATCAGCCATTGTAACTCAATTTAAACGACACAAATTAAACAAAACCAAAACTAAAATTAATTTAAAAAATTCTACAAAATCCCGCAATTGCACTGGAGCGTTTAATGTTCCTCTTTCTTTTCTAATCGTTTTTCGTTTGTTTTTATCTTCCTTGCAATCTTCCGGCTATTTTGGAAATTAAAGAGAATCACAGCTGCAAATGGTACAAAAATTATTTTTCCAGAAAATGCGTTTAACTTTTTTATTCTATTATATTTCTTAAAATATATATTTAACAATTTAATAGCATTTAAATGAGCTTAAATCAAAACATTTCTATTTGCCTTGCACTCGAGGAAAACAACTCGTCATTAGAGCGAAACCCTCCCTTTTGCTCGAAACTTACTGCACAAATTTTCTTGCAAAACGAAAAGTAAATTTTCATTTTCCCTTTGTTGCATTTTACGTTCCTTTTATGCGTCTGCATATTGTTCGTATTGTTTTTATTTTTGATATTCACCCTTTTTCGTTTGTCATTAGTTTTCTATTTTCTTTGTTTCCTATCAATTATGATGAAATTATAAATCATTTTTCATGTGTAAAATAAACACTTCATGTAAATATTTTGCGCTCCAATTACACACAATTAATTAAATTCCATTTCTGTTATATTCCATCCTTTAAAAATTATTAAATTACCTTTTATTTATGGTATTAATTCCGCACCTAATTTCTAGTTTTCAGCAGAAAAATAGAATTGAGATGTTTCGCCGATTTTATAAAGATATAAACAAATGTCAAAATTAAGTGTTGCGATCGCCACCTGTACGTGAAAATTGCAGTTTTATATGTTCAGTGCAAATTTTTAATTTGAATGCGATTTTTGTTATGTTTACAGCCAGTTTTATAATTCACACCTGAGCGAATGTCTTTTGATTGGTAAATCTGGGGTAACATTTTTTGTCGAGATTCAATTTTAGTGTAATTTTCATTTTCGATTGCCAAATCTCGAGCCAAATGCGCAACACTCGAGATTAATTTATAGCACTCTACATATTTTACCAGAGTAGCAAGGTTACTCTGAAACTTACAGCTGTTTCATATGATTTTACAGATAAACAACTATGATTTGTTTTCACATGTCCCTAATTTGTTTATTTATATATTTAGCTGTCGTTATGACAAAAACGAATAAAATCAAATATAATAGTATATTTGGCTGCAAATACATTGTCATCTGACGAAATTTTAGTGTATCCTAAAAATGAACAATTGGGCAACAAAATTAGACAGTAAATTTAGATTGAAGTGTTCGAAGTTTAGGTGACTAAAATGTCGCATAAAATTTAAACAAATTTCACTTTAGTGTTATGTCGTTACTTAAGTGTCAAAATTTCGTTCTCAAATTATTGTACTTACGCAGCAAAATATGCCATTTATCATATGAAAATAAGCTCAGCAGGTTTGATATATGTAAGTGTAATTTTAACATTACAATAAAAATGTACGTTCAGCTCTTGCCAACATTAAGAAACTTTTAAAAGTAAAGTAAAAGTACTAATACTGTATTCCCAGTGCAGCTGAAGTAACTTTTGTTAATCATATTAAGATTTCGTCGTTTTCATTCGCATAAAATAATTATTGCATGTGAAAATTTACGCAAATTCATTTGTGTGACCCTTCTTTTTTATTGCTGACTAATTTTGTCCTACAAAAAACTCTATTAATATAATTATTTTATAGTTTAATACAAATACTTACATTATTCGTTCACAAATATATTTAAAAAATTAAAAAAAAGTTTGTACACATGGTGAAGTTAACTACAAGGAGATTTTTTTGTTAAAAATATTTGAAAAAACACACATAAGCAAAAAAGAGAACAAAATAAAAATACAACAGCCACTATTCTCAATATATAACATATCACACTTGTAAGCAAATATATGTTCAGACACACCTTAATTTTGTAAATATCTTAATTTCATTTTCGTTTCAGCACAATTAAGTTGATTTTTCTATATTAAATTCAGTTTTAAGGTTAGAACAAAATTTAGAAAAATGGCCTTAATTTCGTTAAAACGAAGGCTGCAATGCGTAAGATAAATTTTAAGTAATATATAGAACTAAAATAACGAAAAAGTAATATTTTGTTTTCAATAAATGTCAGTGAAGTTGACTTTCATAAAACCGGGAAAATATTTTGAAAGTAGTGCAAATTTTAAAATTTGAATATAGGGAAAAAAATTGTGACTGTTATAACTTTAAAATAGAGTTAAAAATAATGACACACATATCGGAAATCCACTAAAGCGAATAAAACTACTGATTGCCATACTTTATAGTTACAATAATTAATTTTTAAAATTTAGTTTTGAGCATGTAATTTTTAACATTCAATTGTAAGCAAAAGATTGTAAACAAAAACATATGATCTAATTAATTTGCAGAAGTATGAAAAATTTCCAAATTAATTTAATTTCATTTTAATGAAATTAAGGAAATTTGACTGTCTGAACATAGTATTAAGCGAGTAAGAAAATAAAAATATAAATGAATTATTACTAACTATTGAATAAACAAAAATTGTATTAAATTTAAATGCTAAACTGAGTTTATAAAATTTTTTAACAGCATTTTATGGTCTAATCGATAAACTTCTACTGCTCAAATGTGACAGACAAATTTATCTATAATATGCTATTAGTTTGCAGTTCACAACACCAAAATTCGGTTTTGTCCATCAGCAATAGAAACTTGTCTACTGTCAGCGATAGACATTTTAAAAATAATAAATTAATAATAATAAAATAAATATATAATAAACTTATATATTATTAATATAGGTATAATAAATATATACATATAGAGAATTATAGTATATATGGAAGTTAAGTCGTATTATATTTATGTTTCGTGTATATAAATTTCATATGTATCTACTATGAACATTTTTCTTTATTTATATATAACCATTAAATACTTTATTTATAATATTGTTTTAAATTATTGTATTAAATATGTGTACAATATATTTTGTTATTGCAAAAAAATATTTCAATATTTTTCGCGTGCACTGACTGAACGTGCCCGCAATTTAAATGCCAACGAATAATTATACTGGTTTTTCTGATTAGTTGGCAATATTATAGTATTGGCTTTTTCCCAAACAAAATAATTCTTGCTCATTTTTATACTTTTAAGAAAGTTTACAGTTTGTACATATATTATATAAAGATATTTTTTAAATTGTAAGTGCAACATTAAACAATTCTTTCTTTGGGGAAAATATTATTAAAAAATATTTGAAAATTGTTTTTGTTATGCTTTATAAAAAGACGATGATTTCATTTTGCCTTGAGCGCTGGCTAGGGTTGTTGAAGTGTTTTGTATTGTTGTTTGGCGTGTTGTTCACCTTAACTGCTTATTTACGGAAACGCAATAGTTTTGTGTTAGTGTCTAAATTGAAAATTATAAATAAAATGTAGAGTAAAAAAAATTGATTTCGTTATCAGTGGAGACGCCGCCGTAAGTCGCTGAAGGAAAAATATTATAAAATTTGTATTAAAGCCAACAAAATTAGAAAGCACATGTGAAAGCAGCTAAACAAAAACAAAATGAATTATTTCTAATGTGATTATTAACAATAATTACGAGTTAATTGATTTTTCTCACTTTGCAGAAAGTTAAATCAGAAAACAGAGCACAGAGTTAAATACAGTGACAAGAGATACGAAACGAATCTTTTTATCAATTTTATTACGCGAGAATTGTACAAAAGGAAAATAAACGAAAAAAAATCGAAATCGGTGTGACAGACAGACAGTCAACAGTAACAACATTGTAAGCAGCAGCAGTAGCAGAAAAACTTGAATTGAAAGCCACAGATATGGAGTCTCCACCTATGTTCAACAGCGTCGAAGATGAATGCCGATATTGGAAAGAACGTGCTAAACTTTATCACAAAGAGTATTTACTTCCGATTATTTGAAATCACACACATCAGTAATGAATTTTATTTAATTTTATTAAAAATAAAGGTGGACAGATGTAAAACAAGAATACGATGAATATGTAGAGCAATCAAGACAGATGGAAGCGGAAATGGATGCTACAATCGATCAAAAACTGGCTGTCATTAAGGATCTCAAAATGAAAGTTAATGTATTAGAAAAAGAAAATGAATCATTAAAGGTAAATTATAAAATTAAGTCAAATTTAAAAGCAAAAATTTTAATTATTTATAAACAATTATTTTATGCCATATAAAGGGGAGGATTGTTTTTATGCTAATGATTATATATATAAATATATATATATTCTTTTTTTTTGCCTTACAAATTTATTAAATATATTACAATAACTTCTTATATTATGTTTAGTATATATAAAATTATCAGGTTGGTTTACCTTTACCTAATGGGGGAGTCGTTATCTTCTTCAGGGTTGATCGTTTACTGACTTTCTTGTCTATGTACGAACCAACGTTCAAGTGAACTTTCTTAGTACACAATGCCGCCACTCCAACCTTACACATGTTAAGTAAACATTAAGCAAAATCAAATCAAAGATAAATCAAAGATAAAAAAATTGTTTAATTCTGTGGATGCTCACATTAATTTAGAATTGCACTCTCTTAAAATATGAAATATTATGCCATAAAAAAGAGATGTTCGGCCTTAAAATATACTTCCGTGATAATAACCTAATAAGTTATATTTCAATAGAACACTAGTTAAAATGGATTACCTAGCTTAGATAAAGTGGAGGGAGACACAAATGCTCCTCAATTAGCTAAGAGATTTCATAATTTCTCGCAATAATGTATAGAAGAATGGTTATGTTAGAACTACCCGGAAGCATCTGCTCAATGTTAATACTGGAAATATTGCCGAGTGTTTTAAAGAAGGGGGCAACCAAAAGCTTAAGTTTGGTTCTAGACAAGCCCGGATATAGATACAATAGGTGTTCTGGTGTGTTTTCCTAGACATGTACTCCAGAAAATACTACAGGGTAGACCTAGTTCGGCTATATGCCGTGCTATAGACCAGTGCTCTATTAAAGCAGATGTTTGGTTACCTAAACTCCTTTAATTTGTGTATTTTGATATTCGAAGAAAAGATACCTAAACATTTGTTGTATTATTGTCCATGACCCACATTAAAAGATAACAATATACTAACATTAACTTGCTTCAAAACATCTCTTACATTATAATCAGTGAAATTTTCACATTTATCTCACATAAATGCTAGAATTCTTTCTAACATAAATAAGTTCAACGGATAACTGAAAATTCGCTGAGTTACTGTCCAGCTTTATATTAATCCGGACTTAAACATATAGACACACTAATCCTTAACTTACTCCACAACTGCTCTAAAATAAATATCAGCCAAACACTCATGTTCTGCCATACGTCTGGTCAGTTATTAAATAATAGGATCATTTGAGAATTGAAGAGGTTTAATAGCCGTCTTCTTTACCTAACTACGTACGTACCATTATTAGTCCATTTTTTCGCATCATGTTTACATCGACACTAATT